GTTGTGCAGCAGTGGGTAATTCAAGTCTTGGGGACAACACGAGCTGATACCCGTGTCTCTTTGTGTCCCAGCTGGCTTTTGTCTGGGATATTTCCGCCTGGTTAACTTCCGAACCCTGAGTTGGAGGTGGCTGCTTTTGTCCCGACTTGGTGACAGAGTCCTCTGTGGATGGAGAGATGACGGGGGAGGAGTTTGGGTTGGACCATCTGTTGCTGCTGCGGAGATCTTTCATCTCGACCTTCTACCACTCCACTCTTTAGACACGCGCCGACATACAAACACATTGAATGTTGGCTCTGTGGACGTATGAAATCCTAGCTGTCATTAAGTTTGGTCTTGATGTTAAACATTTTACATTTTTCCAAAATTTCCTACAGGTAGTGTCCATAATGGCATAAAAATCTGATGGCTTATTTTTTAATAAAGATACATATAATGACTTTTTTCTCAAGTCATAATAATGCTATGGTCAATACAAAACATGTTTATGAAGAAGTTTGCAATAAGCCACTCACACATGAATCAACCTTAATTTTATTCTGACATTTTCAGTACCTCCCAGAATGAGCCATTTCAGGGCTCTGTCACTATAAGATACCAAGATGTAGCTGGCCACGGCCACTGCTCTTCCACTCAGGCTGCTATAGGGCGCTTAAAGGTTGGTTTATGCTTGACGCGTCCGCGAGGTCCGCACGGCTCCGCTCAGCGAAATTGCGTCATTTTAACAACCACGCCCCTCCACCGCGTCTCTGCATGACCCAAAATTTCCGCAACGCGCACCTAGGAAAATTTCTAACCACTCGGACGGTCGGACGTGGAAAAACATGGCGGACCGGCAAGAATTAGTATGGTAGAGGTTCGTAAATACAGACATGCATGATTCAGCTCTCAGAGATCACCGTGATCAACATGTTCTTAACAATTCTTGGAGAGAAATAGCTCGCACTGTCGGAAAAGACGAGGACGCTGTTAAAAATGCTGGAATGCCATGTTGTAAACAGTCATTTTTACTTCTACTATGGTGTAGTGTTGGATGCATGCCGTAGAGCTCCATGCTGCCCCCTACAGTTTGGGAGAATATTGGCTCACCGCAGAGACAAGCCGCACGAACCATAAACGCTGCGAGTTGTGAAGCGCGTTCCATCCGCGAGCCGCATCACCAAGCGGAAAGTGAATGCGTCAAGCATAAACCAAGCTTAAGTCATGCCCATCTACTTCCGGACCATGGGTCCCTGGAAAAACAAAAAAATTTATGCAGAAACGCTTTTTTCTAATTCCGCTTGTTATGTGCCATAAATTTCGCATATGATGTCCATGAATTTTTAAGATGTGTTTTGATGCCAAGAATGCCCATTTTTTTCAAACGGGGGGAAAGGCTATTTTAGGTTTAGTGTTTAGTCCAGGACCACAAATGCACATCACCAAAGTGATGTCATCGAAACAGACCTGGAGAAGAGCAGAGGAAAATGGCCGTAAGTTCAGCCAACTTTAAATCTTTTTTTTTCAGGAAGAAAGAAGTACCATAAATCTGTCCATTTGGTAAGTAGCAGCTACACTAGGGGGGTGGAGATTCTGTGGTGATGTCATATATGCGACACACCAACTTCTGATTTGTAGTCATGCTACTCACAAATTTTACAAGCTGATAAATCTCAGAATAAGGTACTGGCGTGGTTGAAACACACATGATTTTAAATTTAAATTGAAGTACAACATAAGTGCGATTCAGGGCGTACGGTAAAGCCAATTGGAAAGTGGCTGTTTTAGCCCCGTTGACTTGCATTCATTTTTTCGTTCTTCCGGGGACATATGAGCCGACCAGAAAGGGAGGAGACTTAGGCCTAGTCCACACGTAGCCGGTTTTTTTTAAAAACGAATATCCGCCCCTCCAAAAACTTGCATCCACACCACCTCGTTTTAAAAATAACCTCTGTCCACACGTACCCGGATAAATACGTTGTTAAGGACATGCCAGACCTGTAGGGGGCAGTACTTCCCCCGTTCTTAACCTCGTCCTTCGTCTGTGTTCTTCCACAAGGAGCAGTAATTCCGCTTGCAAAAAACAAACAAGCAAAAAGCGCTTGGACAATTGATTAAGCGAGCGCAGCTCTGAGGCGTCCATGCTGTCAGCTAGTGTAAACACAAGTCGCACACGTGATGTCAGCGTTTTTTTGTCGCGGAAAGTGACGTTGCGGACCTTAAAACTCCGGTTTTGTCTGTCCACACGCGGACACCAAAAACGGAGAAAACGCAGATCTTCACTTTGGCCGGAGTTTTTAAAAAGATCCGTTTTCGTGTGAAAAAACTCAGTTTTCGTGTGGATGACAGGCCAAAACGTAGAAAAATATCTACGTTTTGGCAGATCCCCGGCTACGTGTGGACAGGGCCTTAAGCTCCCTATAAGCTACAAGGCTCTGATATCTTGGAGGGGCTGAGTAGACCTGCTTCTCTTGCCTCGAGGTGTGAGGAGGGTTCAATGCTAATTTTCTCTTTTGTGACATCACAAACAGGGACTTTTTTTAAACCGCTTGGTTTTGACACATAAGACCTGAATATATGGATGCTTTTTCTCATTTGGAGTGTTTATAGAGACAGTAGGGACTCTCATGGCATCACAAAAAGATGACAGATCATTCTTTTCTCATATTTCCAGATATTTCACCTTTACGAGACAAATAGGATTTTGTTCAAATAACTATTAAAGCTCTAAAAGTGTGGCTCAGCATTTCAAACCTTCAACTTCATCACGTGTTTGTGTGACAGAAATGTTTTTATTGTGATGCTGAACGGAGAGCAGGAAGTTACAGATTCCTGAGACAGCCCGGTGGTTTCCAAGTGTTTATCCTGTTCTGTTGTCTTTGTGAGCTTCGTGATCGGGGTCATGAGTACAAGAACCTACAAGATGATACGAGTTCAACGCCTTCCTCTTGTGGTTTATCAAGTTACATAACAGCAGCAGATTTTCTAAAAATCCTGAGCATGAACTCTATTAATCTCCTCTCATGACTCACGTGAAGCAGCTTTTCCCTGAAATAGCTGCTCACGCAGAGACGGTACCAGGCAGAAGCAGTCGCTCACTGATATAACCAAGTCACAATAATCCAAATCTGTTTTAATGCATGGCCACATGTTGCAGAATGCCTCCATATACATTCTGATGTTTGTCTTTTTCTACACAATAGGGACATTATCAGCTGCTCACACCCTTCCTCTTTCCCCTCACACTCTCCTAATTTACACGACCCCCTTTATCCCATTCACTGTTGTCCCCTGCGGCCCGAGAGCCACATTTAGCTTTGCTCCATTAGCCGCCTGAAAGAAAATAAAATGATGATGATGGAAGTGGGCCTTTTAAGACAGGCTGCTTGTACTTAGTGGCTCTTTGTACAAGAATTAAGCTGAAGAAGGGTAAAAAATAAGAAAAGGTCAGAGAGCAGTGAGTTTATTTATTGAACTTAACATTATTATAACTAAAATTTCTCTTTGTGCACCTTGATCTTTCCTCTGACCCTGATGTAAGGTGCATTTGTACAGTGTGTGTGGACATGGCAGCCTGTTGTTAATTGTTAATGAGGATTGATGTCTGAAAGTGGTGACCTCATCTAAGGTTTCCTAGTGGAATCCATGCATATTGATCTTTTCAGTTTTATGCTCTGTTGGGTACACAATTCACTTACGCTCTACACTGCCCTGACCGTCTCATCGGCAGTACTTGTGATGATTAATGGCGGGTTTTAGACGAGCTTATTGTGAGATGGTCATCTGCTATAAAGCTAAATGTACAAATTTACTCCTGGATTTTCCTTGTGTGTTCAAAAATACAATAATATTAAGCAATACTCACCTTTTGCATCCATTTGTGCTACCATCTGGGTCTTTGCTGCCTGTTTAAATGCTCCAAATGTGAAAAAATTCTGTCCATTCATTTCCTGTTAGTGTTTGATTTTAGGAATTATGTGACAAAAACAATCCTTTTTAAATAGTTTCCATTTGTGATGTCATAAACAGGGAAATTGTAAAAGAACTATGCTGATGGAGCTGTGGTTCTGCTCCAGCCCCTCCCGGATATCGGAGAATCTCAGCTTATAGCAGCATGAGCTGTGGAGGGGTGGGCGTGGCCAGCTCCAGCTTGCTTTCTTAAAGCGACAAGAGTTCTGAAACGGCTCTTTCTGGAAGGTACTGAAAATGTCAAGAATCAAACTGCTGAGACTGTGTGAGAGGGATTTCATGCAAACAACTTCAAAAGCCAAAAACATGATTTGTGTCAATCATAGAATTATTATAACTTAAGAGAAAAGTCATAATACATCTCTTTGACATGAGAGGTTGAAGGATGGTCTTGGTAACAAATTTGGGACAAACCAGGTAATAACCATCTCATTCTGTTTTTATGCAAAACAGAATGAATTTAAGTTATTCAGCTCTTTTAAATTTTTAATTCAGCTTTGTGCTCATCTGCAGTCATTTCATCTGAGCTATGAATAAACCGCCGCCACTTTAAGGAAGTGACAGCTCATCTGAGCAATCAGAGGCAGATTCCTGTTTTCTCCGGGTTAGCAAACATGTCTGAGAGGATGTTTTTGACTCCAAACATTTAAGTAGGAGAAGATGACTAAAACAAATGAGCATTAAAAATAACGACAACAAAATTTTGATAAAGTTTTTATCAGTGTTTGTTATTGTTTCTGATCTGAGCTTCTGAGACGGACCTGCAACTTTCCGTAGAATATGCAAAATCCCACAAGTCCACACAAAAGTAAAGAAATCCAGATGAAAAGCTCTGTACCTACATTTATTTATTATAATATTTTATTTCTTATTTAATTTTCAGAACTTTACTTTGAATTATTGAATAAAAGTCAGATAAGTGACACAGACTGAGAACACTCAGCTGGACTAAGGTGATTATATCTGCCTGGAAACTAGATTGGAGTCAAACTAATGGTGAAAAATTGCCCATAATTGAGAAACTGCAGTTGTTTTGTTTTATTTGGTTGCAGGGAGCTCGAGTCTGGCTGAGACATAAAGAGCAACTCCTCCCCTCCACCGTCAACTCATCTGATGACCTATTGTTGGTCCTCACTACAGAATATGGGAAGGTAAGGCTTGTTTTTTTTTCTCATTAGACTGTCTCTAACTCTCATTTGCCTAATTATTCTGCACTTTTCTCAGTTAAAATGTAAAGTATCCCCAAGTTCGTAGTATACATAAAACCTTTCCTCTCAGTTTGTTATAATGTGAGAGGGAAATTGCCCATTGTGTGAAAGGTTGAGAGCTAATTGTTTGTCCGCATGTTTCATTTGATGGGTTCAACGCCTTTTGTAATGAAGTAAGAATGACAGGAATGAAGTCCCACCGAGTCAAGTCATTGAGCTTATCTCCTTGGCAGAGCTCAGTGGTCTTTGTGTCTGCAGGAAATCCTGCTGGACAGGCAAAAGACGCAAGTTTAAAGAAGACTCATTTTAGTGAAAAATAGGATAATCAAAAATGATGAATCACACAAAATGTTACTGCACAGTAGTTTTGCATGATTTTCTTGGTGGCTCAGTGGAAAAAATTTAACCTAAATGAGGCTGATGCACTGAAAACTGAGTTAAACAACATATTTACTCATCTCATTGAACTTCTTGGATATTTTATGATGTTTCTGTGATCTGTAGCTGGCATTTTTGAGTGAGAAGCAGTGAGAAGCAAGGTCCGCCCCTGGAAAATTATTGGCCACCTTACTGCACCCCTACTCAGAGAAGCCCTCCCTCGTGTTAATAAATATTGTTCATGTTCACTCAAACCACTCATTCATCTTCCTTTTCTAGACATAAATCTAAAACAAATAAATAAAGAAAGAAATCATTATTCAAAATGTGTTGTCGCTGCAGAATATTTTAAAAAGAAGTATAAATATCAATAGTTTTTGGGGGGTGTTAAGACAGCAAATGTTCTCAAAAACAATAAACACTGAAGTAAAATAATTTTTTTTAAGTCAGAATATTTTTTCTGAAAAAATGTTTTTTCTAAAATTTGAGGTGAATGTGTTGGATGTTTCTTTATTATTAACAAAGAATGAATGAGCCTGCAATGCACAACTAAAGGGTAAAAATGTCCAGCGTGAGCACAGGAAACAATTTGATGTGCCACCCTAAAATTTTCTCTGGCCCCCTATGAAAATCTTCTGGGGGCACCACTGGTGAGAAGACAACCATGTTTGGCAAAGCGAGAAGAGGTGACTGACCACTGAAAATGTGCTTCTCTCTCTCAAAAAGAATTCCACCACCCTGGGTGTGAGTTTAAACATTAACATTGGCATGACGGCACACTTTTGGAACAGAAAGTGGTTCTGATAACAGATCTTAACATTTACAGTTAAGCCCAGGATGTTTATTATCAGGCCTCGTGTTTGGGTTTCATGGCTAAGTCCAAAGATTCTGCAGCTGGAATGACGGGAATGTAAAACTGGGACGCAGACTCCAGATTCAAGACCCTCATGTGATCCTAGACTTGAGTTTTCTTTCCAATCCCGCCATCTTTAATTTAATCCACATCATCTTTTAGAGTTCAGAGAAGCACTTTGGCAGGTGATCCTCACTCTGGTCACATTATATCAGCACGGGTCACCGTCTAATCTCTGGAAAAAAGAGACAAACAGTGGGGTTTGTGTGTGCATATGTGTGTATGTGTGTATGTGTGTGTGAGTCGCCAAATTAGGCCCTAACCCAGCCGGATTAACAGTGCACTTATTATTACATGTTTGCAGATGCGTTTCTTAAACTAAGCATCTGCTGCTTGTGATGACTCGTCCTCGGATCTTTAATATTTAGCTATTTTGTCGAGTAGACACAATTCATTAATGCATGAATAACTTGACCAATAGGAACCTTTTTCTCATTTTGTGTGTGTGTGTGTGTGTGGGGGGGGGGGGGGGGGGGGGGGCTGCCAGCCTTGTATGCAACTATGTTTATAGAAGCAGGTGTCTTTGGGGCTGCCTTGCACCTTGCAGCGGAGGCTTACAGCTGTGCTGTGTCATAAAGTTGTCCCAAGCCTAAAACTGCACCTGTGATTCCTTTATGTCACCAATTATTTTCACTTGCAGTCAGTCTGATTATTTAAGTCACCAAGCAGAATTACTGTGGGATCACTACTGGGTGATTTTAAGGATGTTTTTACTCACAATGCTAGTTGGATCCATTCACTTACTGAGTTTTATGCTAAGCTAAAGCTAAAGTAGTAGCACTGGGTCAGGACTGGGCTGGTTAAAACTTGTTTTTTTTCCCCACTCATCAATGTCTGGGAAATATGTCAACAGACAACATTTAATTTTTGGGTGGAATATCCCTTTAAGATGTTGAGTTTAGGCAAACTAAAATATAGCATACCATTTTTAGAACTAATGTTAATAATTTCACTGAGTTTTGATCAGTTTCAGCTCCGACTCTTCATAAATATATGTGAAAAGAATTCTTTATGACATTTTGAGAAGAACAAAGATAAAATCTATAGTCTAAAATTATATGAACCCTGAAAACTTCCACAGTTTTTACATGCTCTGTGGTTTAAAGTAGGTCATTGATGGCCCTGGGTCAATAAAGCCATTATCTGGGCTTTCACGTGCATTCATGAGCAAACGTACAGACGTTTATTTCACCCTGTTTTCACCATTTGTATGAACATCAATATAAATGCTTCTGTTTGTTTTGTCTTGCAATCTAAATTACCCTTCTTTTTTTTCTATTTTGACACTGTTTATGTTCCCTCGCTGCATATTTATCTGGAGTCAGGGTGGGATCCCCCTGCAGCAGATGTGTTCTCAGTAACACAGAAGGAGTCAGTCAGTTAAAAGAGAGAAAGACAGAAAAACAGTGAGATGTGTGTTTGTAACCAGTAGCCTGTAATGTGTGTGTGTGTGTACGCGTGCGTGCGTGTGTACGTGTGCGTGCGTGTGTGTGTTTCTCCTGAAGGCCTGTGTGTGTGTGTCAGAGCCAAACTCCTCCCACACCAAATGAATATTCAGCAAAGCAGCAGCAGCAGCAGGGTGTGGTTTCACAGAAAAAAAGGGGAACAAAAGGAGTAAAAACATCACAGCTGTGAGAAAGTTTAAATCTCCTCCGTTTGTGTAATTTCAGTCAGATTTGACACATAAAATCCATTCACCGAGTTGTAATTTGTTCAGGAAATCTGCGTAGAAAGAGTCAAACCCATAAAAACTATGGTGACGCAGTGGTTTAGTTCAGTAAGTCGTCTGATGGGATCTGTAACCCTCTTTGGGACAAAATGTTTGTGTTTAAGGGATTAAATCATCTATCTACAGAACTCAAACTGAACTCGTTTAAGCTATAAAACAAAAAACAGGTTTTTTAAAATAATTCTAGTTTATTCATTTATTTCTGCTTTGATTTAATGTAACAAAATATCAAACTAATAGAAATGTTAGAATGGGCTAGAAATGTTTTGGTGTTAACATATTTGGTGATTTTATCATTTTTCTTATGAAACAAATTTAATTGCTAATAATAAAAGTTTTTTTATAGATATTAAAGTGAAATGGGTATTTCTGTTTATATTATGAGCGAATGAAAAGAAATATGAGAGAAAATCAAAAATAAATATCTAAAAAATTCTGCTTAATGATAAATAAGACAGGGAAAATGTGTGTGCGTGTGTGTGTGCATGTAAGTGCCTGTGTGTGCGCGCGTGTGCGTTTATGCATGCGTGTGTATTGTGTGTGCGGGTGTGAGTGAGTGTGTGCGTGTGTTCATGTGCGTGCATGCATGTGTGTGTACATGTGTGTGCGTGTGTGTGTGTGTGTGTGTGTGTGTGTGTGTGTGTGTGTGTGTGGGTGTGTGTGTGTGTGTGTGTGTGTGTGTGTGTGATTTTAGACCAGACCAGTCAGTCTATCAGGGCACTGAGACAGACATCACTAATCGATCATGAATCACATGTAGTTTTAAATAGCATCAAAACAGCCTCCATCTGTCATCACATCACTCTATTACCCTCCCACACGCACGCGCGCACACACGCGCACACACACACACACACACACTCACACACACACACACACACACACACTTGATGCTAATGAATGGTTGCTGTGAGTATTTTTTATCCCAGTGGATTATGTAGTATTTTCATCAAAAGTGAGATAATATTGGGAGATTTAGTTATATTTCCCTCATTTGGAGTTTGATCCGTCAAGACTTTTGTCTCATAGTAGGCTCAGCTCTATCAGGGATCAACACATTCTCAGTTACATTTTCTTTCTACCAGCGGAGGGTTCAGTGACCCACCTCTAAAGAATGAAACCCACAATGAAACCAACACCAGGATGGGGGAAAACAGAGGAATACGAAACCTCGTCCAGGGCTGAAAACTCTCATTCAGCGTCTCTGATGTTTGGGATGTTCAACCGCCCCCGAGGGTCGCTCTGTGAAATGTGAACAGTCCGTTATTAAGATGATCAGATTCAAAGGTCTGACGATGGGAAATAGATTAGGGTAAACACGTGGCATTAGTGCTAAATAACACACACACTGCACAAAAATTTGAAATTTGATTAGTTGGAATTTTCAGCAGCCATGGTTGACATTATGTCTACATTTTAATGAATTTTAATTCTCATCATATCATTATTTTGTTTAACATCTGTCCTTCTAGGTTTCCTGTTTTAGGCAAGAACCTTGATTTTTGGGTAATATTGGTTCATAGAAGCAGTCAGCAGAGCTGCAGCCTGCAGGGTGCGTCAACAACAAAAACAAAGAAGAAAGAAATCCGACTTATGCGTTGCTTTTATAAGATTGATAACTTTCTTATATAAACGTGTCTTGTTGAACCAGCATCATCACACGGAGTTAACACTAGAAAGCTACGCTAGAGCAGGCTGTTTCTGATTTTTAAAGCTATTTTCATCACTTTAAAAATGAATAGCAGCATGTTTTCATGTGCAGGAATCCACCTTGTGTGTTAAATACCTCAAACTCATCAAATGCAGATGTAAAACACTTTATTGGTCACTCAGGTCCTGTAGTGGATCTGGAGCATTTAGCTAAATGAGGGTGTGGAGGTTAAAAACACAGGTGTTTATGGGAGTTTCACTAAAAATAAGATAAGATAAGAACAACTTTATTTATCCCGAGGGAAATTGTTGTGTCATGTACATGCTCAAAGCAGTAGGAGAGACAAAGGAACAGGTGAAACAGATATAAGATATACGAAAAATACAGTAAAAATAGTGTACAGTAGTATACAATAGGATAGTGCAAGAGAAATACTCAGATAACTCAACAAATAAAATACATGACTGTATCCTGGTGAATAAGTAATTAAGCTATCAGTGCAGGCGATTTTCGAAAATGATCAGAGTATTGTGCAATAGAATTAAGGGTAGTAGCAGCATATGATGGAGGGATGCAAACATATTTCCAATAAGAACTCTTGGGTAATATTGCACGGTCGGGGATGGAACAGAATAGCCTGGGTAATAGTATTAGGAGAATCACCTACAGGGTGAGGAAGAGTTAAACAATCCTATTGCCACCGGTACGAAGGATTTCCTGTGGCGGTCAATTCTGCATTTCGGGGTAATGAGTCTTTTGCTGCGTGTGCTTCGATGGTCAATCATGTGGGCGTGCATGGGGTGGGAGGGGTTGTCCATGATAGAGAGAAGCTTTTTTAGCATTCTCCTCTCAGACACCTCCTCCAGGTTCTCAAGTCTAACACCCAGGACAGAACCAGCCTTCCTAATCAGCTTGTTCAGCCTGTTGGCATCAGCTATCTTCACCCCACTGCCCCAGCACACAGCTGCAAAGAACACAACACCCTCCAACACCGAGTGGTAGAACATGGTCAGCATTTTCCTACCAACATTGAAGGACCTGAGCCGCCTCAGAAGAAAAAGCCAACTCTGCCCTTTTTTTGAAGATAGCATTGGTGTTCTTGGTCCAGTCCGGTTTACAGTCCAAGTGAACCCCCAGGTACCGGTAGTCCTCAACGATCACGTCAGCCCCTCTGATGGTGACAGGAGTAGGAGGTGGGGCCTGCTTCCTAAAGTCCATAATCAGTTCCTTAGTCTTTGTGATGCTAAGTTGTAGGTGGTTTTGCTCACACCACTCCACAAAGCTGTCCACCACACGCCTCCACCTCCTGACCATCCCTGATACAGCCCACGATGGCAGAGTCATCAGAGCATTTCCGCAGATGGCAAGACTGAGACTTGTACCTGAAGTCAGATGTGTAGAGGGGTGAAGAGGAAGGGTGATAGAACTGTCCCCTGCGGCGCCCCCGTGCTGCTCAGGATGTTATCTGAGCGGCAGCTCATCAGTCGGACATGCTGTGGTCTACTTGTTAAATAGTCTGTAATCCAACCTACTAGTGGGGCGTCCACCTGCATCTCCGTGAGCTTATTCCCCAGCAGTGATGGTCTGATCATGTTAAAGGCACTAGAGAAGTCAAAGAACAGGACCCTCACAGTGCTCCCAGCAATGTCCAGATGAGAATGTGCCCGGTCCAGCAGGTAGATGAGGGCATCCTCCACACCGATACGAGGTTGATAAGCAAACTGCAGGGGATCCAGCCAAGGCTCCATAAGCAGCCGCAGATGTTTTAGGACGAGTCTCTCCAGCGTCTTCATGACATGTGAGGTCAGAGCCACTGGCCTGTAGTCACTGGGGGTCCACGGGTTGATCTTTTTAGGGACAGGAACCAGGCAGGATGTCTTCCAGAGTGATGGAACTCTCTGCATCTCCAGGCTCATGTTGAAGATCCGTTGTAAAACTCCAGACAGCTGGGAAGCACAACACCTAGGGGCCCTGGGACTGACACCATCAGGACCAGCCGCTTTGCCGGGGTGGAGTCTGCCCAATTCTTTTTTATGTCATCTGCTGAGAGGGACAGGGTGAGACAGTCTGAGGGGGCGGAGGAGATGATGGGAAGAGCTGGCTGTGGAGACAGGAGACGCAGGGCAATCGAACCTATTGAAGTGTAGATTTAGGTTGTTAGCACTTTCGACATCCCCATCCATCCCAACACCTCTCTTTTGTCTCAGGCCAGTGATGCTCTGAGCGTAGTCTGGGTAGAAGACATCGGCATAAAAATGTTCCACAGTTTTTGTTTTTGCTTCAACTTTTCTCTCCAAGTCAGTTTTTGTACATTTTTGAACAGATTTCTTGCAGATGGCTTACATTCAAAACAAAAAAAGGCAAATACATTTTCAAGCTTTCGACAAGAAAAGCTAGTTAGGATGTCACAGTATTCATAATTCTGGGACAAGAAGTAGCAAAGTAATTAATGTTGCATTTTCTTTTAGTTTCTATGAGTTTAGCTGTGGTCGAATAATAAATTAGCTTCCTTTTGAGTGTTTTTACATGAACCTAATACATTTACTTACAGCCAACTGATTGTGGTGTAGAGTTTTTGTCTATAATGCACTAAGTGACAGTGGCTAGCCTGTGTGAGCTAATAAATAACAATAAACAGCAAAACGCAGCAGAGTCAATAGGAATGATTTACTGGCTGTCCAGAAACCCAACATGCTGCTGGATTACATGGATTTCAGAAAGCATGAACGTTCATTTGAAGTGCTGTCCTCTAGTGGCTGAGAGGATTTTTTTTACAACATCTTTAAATGTGATTCCTACTCTCCAAACTTTGTTTCACGCAGAAAAAGTCTAAATCACACACGAGCTCCCGTGTACGTTACTGAATGAAGCAGGGTTGAACTGGGATGCCACAGATCCAGTGTCATGCTCGCCAGTACCGATCTGCACACAGACTCCCATCAAGTCTGTGAGACATTTGAGGACATTTGGACATTTCTCCTCCATCTAGTTGTCTTTGTTCTCTCTGATGGTGACATATTTCCTAAAGGCTGAGGAGTGACTGTGAAACAGGCACAGACAGGCATCTTATCATTGTTAGTATTATTTTATTCCTCAGTCGTTCCTGTAGGAGCTTGCGGATCACCTGTCACAGACGCAGGAATGCTGAGGTTGTACCAGCCGAGTAATTAAATTTTCAGCTTTTCTTTCTCTCCGACCTCGGCTCTACCACACTTTTACTCAAACTCCGATCCAGCTGGCTGCTTGATGACTTTGTTGGCTCAGACACTACAGTGGTTATATCACAGCTACCCAATAAAATCCCAAAACAATTTGTAATTTATCACCTGATTAACCCACAATTCGAGATCTGTCCTTTTTTCTTACTAAAAGTTTTAATATAAGATAAGGTTTTATTTACGTGATGAAATATAATTAATAATCACTTATGGTTGTAGTGATCTAATTTTATAGGAATTTAGATTGCTACTCATTTGGGTGTTATTTTAACTGTTGCCAATTGTTTTTGTGCTCCTGCAGGTGATTCAGGTCCAGAAGGAGGAATTAGGCAGGCAGATGGTTTACCTGATGCACCCCAGCAGCATCCAGGGAGTTGAAGATATGTCTACACTGGCAGAGCTGCACGAAGCTGCCATCATGCACAACCTCTTTCTGCGCTACCAGAAAGACAACATCTATGTGAGTACCAACTATTGTTTGAAAAATGACATGAAAGAAATGAAAGGAAAAAAAAACTCCAAAATATGTTTGTTTGAGTCTAATCACGCTCAAAAACTGTTCAGGCTTTGTTAAAGGGGACATATTATGACTTTTTTTTAAACTGCAATAGTTATGGTCAGCACTTGTTCCTGAAATTATTTGCACAAAATATCTTGGTTTTATTTTTGACATTTTTAGTACCTTCCAGAATGAGCCATTTCAGAAAATGAGCTGGAAATGTCCACACCCAAACATCCCCCGCTCAGGCTGCTATTGACCCTTTGCACCGACGTCACCTAATCACGTGGGTCCAGCCTGGTGGACGGCTAAAGCATGTAAACAGTGAGCGACACAATTACTAAACAAAGGGAAAAGTAGAGCCTGAAATTGTTTTTGCGATCAAAACAAAAACAAAACTCCTCCAGCATTCCTTTAACTAGTTCATGCCCAGTTCAGTTATCAGAAGAAGTAGCGCATCTAGCGGGGGCTCATAGAGAGCGGTATGTTAACTAGCTTACCAACGTTAGCTTACGTTCTCTCTGCAGCTGTTCACCGATGTAAACATGTTGCTGACTTTGCCTAAATTCACCCCTCTGGATTTATAACTTTATGTTGTAAACAGCGTTTCACTTTACACCAAAGCTGATTTTTAAAAAGTCCGGATCCCTACCAGCTTCTGTTGCTGGTGGTGTTACCGGGTTCAGCTGCTGCTCTCACACCAGAATGAGAAGATCTCTGAACGCCGACGCTCATATAAATAAATAACGTAATTTTAACACACGTAATCATACATCGGAGCTTTAATATTGTTAATAATTGTCTCGCTTTACACTACAGTGGACGGAGTGTAGCCTCCGCGGTAAAAACCTGTTCGCTGCAAATCTGAGGCCTGCTAGTCCGCTTGATTGATTGATCACTGCAGTTCGTCTCCGTCCTCAGTCTCCATCAAAGTTATTAAAAAGAAAAAACGAGTTGAGTTCACGTCCTTGTCTCTTAGTGCAGCCAACCACGCAGCAAGCTAAAACCATTTTACTGTCAAATCAACTAAATAAAAGCGATAAAAGGCTACAAACTGGCTTGTTTTGACTAGCTTCACTGAAGTTTCTACGTGTGTAAACGGTCTTTTTGCCGTCCATCATGGCAAAGGGGGCGGTCACGAGTGGCGTGACATCACGTGCAAAGGGTCAATAAGCTGAGAAGCTCAAATTTCCAGGAGAAGCTGGAGGTAGAGCCACTGCTCCTCTAGCAGCAGCAGTTCTCATGCACTGCTAATTTGTGATGTCACAAACAGGGACTTTTTGAAACGGCCTGTTTTAGGCACGATTCCTAAAACTAAACACTACAGAAAACAGATGGCTTTTTCCACTTTTGGAGTGTTTATAGAGGCAGTAGAGATCCACCTGGCAACACAAAAGAATGTATTTGTCCTCTTTGAAATAATCACATTGTGCATTTTTGGCCCTGAAGAGCATTACCCACCCAGGACCAGATCCCAAAATATTACTAAAACTGGTCCTCATATAGTTCATCCTAAAGTGTTTAGCTGTTTTTCACTACCAAGCATCCTTCTTTTAATATTTTCTCCTCTCTCAGACCAATATAGGTTCAATTCTTGCAGCAGTAAACCCGTATAAACAGATAGCCGGCCTGTACGACGGCGCTGCGGTAGATCTATACAGCAAGCACCAGATGGGGGAGCTGCCTCCTCACATCTTTGCCGTGGCCAACGAGTGTTACCGCTGCCTGTGGAAGCGGCACGACAGTCAGTGTGTTCTCATCAGGTCAGTCAGGACCTCTGAATATCAGTAGAGGAAATAAGCTGAGATGATTGGTGCTTTTACCTTTTCCTGTGTCCATGCATCCTTAGTGGAGAGAGCGGTGCTGGGAAGACGGAGAGCACCAAGTTGCTGCTGAAGTTCCTCTCAGTGATGAGTCAGAACTCGTCCGGTACTCCTCTGTCAGAGAGGACCACCAGAGTGGAGCAGGCCCTGGTCCAGAGCAGGTACCGTCTGACCCCCTGACCCAATACTTCAACTGGGAATTACTGGATTTTCCCATTAAGATTCAGTGCAGATCAGTTCACTGAAATGCCAAGAAAAGCAGAAAAACACTTAAATGTGTTGAGCATGCACCTGGGTAAATGATTCTGTTTTCTTGTCTGCAGTCCCATCATGGAAGCATTTGGGAATGCCAAGACTGTTTACAACAACAACTCCAGCCGCTTTGGGAAGTTCATCCAGCTCCATTTTTCACAGAACGGGAACATTCAGGGAGGCTGCATCACCGACTGTATCCTTCACTAGTTCAGCTCACAGAAAAACAGTTTAATACATTATAAAAAAATAACTCATTCAGACATTTCACCTTTTCCCCCTTGACATCCAGTCATCAGATTTGCTGGAAAAGGTAAGTTTGTGTTGTGAAGAAAAACACTGAAGAAGAAGTACTACGATTACTAAGATTAGGAATTAAATTCTTTCCAAGAACCGCGTGGTTCGGCAGAATCCTGGGGAGAGAAATTACCACATCTTCTACGCCATGCTAGCGGGGGCAGACAGAAACCACAGAGGTTGGTGTTTCATAACTTATTTTAACACTTTTAACAACCGGAGACCATAACATGTCGATTTTCCTTTGAGACTATACATTTTATTTACCCCTCCTCACCAAAATGTCATTATTTTGTTTGTGTTGCAGACGTGTACCTGCTGTCTGAAGGCCCTGAGACGTACCACTACCTGAGCCAAGCCGGCTGCGTGCAGGACAGCAGTCTGGATGACAAGCAGCTCTTCAACAGCGTGATGGTGAGGAGATTTTCTGTACATTCTTTCCTTCACACCCAGAGGGCGCCATATTCCTTTGTGATAAGTAACACAAGGAAGTCTGTAAATGATTCTCAAGGTACTATACATTATTTTAGTATTTCAAAGGGACAAAATTCAGATGATGTCACGACATAAACACATTTATTGTGTGTGTGTGTGTGTGTGTTTGTGTTATTGTACAGGAAGCCCTTAAAGTGATGGAGTTCACTGAGGAGGAGATCAGAGATGTGTTCAGGTTGCTGTCTGCTGTCCTCCAGATGGGAAACATTGAGTTCATGACAGCTGGTGGAGCTCAGATCACATCAAATGGAGGTAACGAACCAAATGAGGAATAGAATTGGTTTGCTCCATCTTGCTCATTTCTAAAAAAGTTTGCCTTTACAAGAAAGAACTGTGTGACTTTGCACAGAAATCTATGATAAAAGAGCCATATTCATATTTGTGCAAGAACAAAATCAGATACTTTTGCAATTTTCTGCATTATATTTTCAGATCTTTTGTAGAAAAAAAATCAATTTGGAGAAATAATTCAGTTCCAACTGGATTGACAAGCTAACTGCCAGTACTAGTCGAGTCTGGATCACTGCCATCTCAGAAAACATTTATATATTTGAGATTCACCTAAGTTACTTTTGCATGATTATTTGCAGTATTAATACCAGCATCAACAGGTTGTAGCATCTCTGGTGGAAAAAATAACATTACTACTGCCACAATAACCACGTGAAGGAAAACAAAAAGGAGGCGTAAAGTTTGTTTTACTGGCGTTCACATTCTGTTAAACATTTGATATTAGAATAGTTTTAAAGAACAATTTCACTGAGAAACCTTTTTTTTATTTGTGTTATTTGAAATATAATAGGATAAATGAAAATGTGAAAATGGTCTACCCCTACTTCCTGAATTAGGTAGCAGTGAAAAATAGACAGGGACATGCTTGAAAGCCAATATGTGGCACGTCACATTTCTTTGCTCTGTTGTCCTTAAAACAAATGACAAGTTTAATTCGCTACTCTCACACACACACACACACACACACACACACACACACACACACACACACACACACACACACACACACACACACACACACACACACACACACAAACGGGGCCCGCGATACAAACATGTTTTGGCTGATTTCTGCCTAAAATGTAATTTAAAAGCAAAAATACAAACGAAAGATGTCTATAAACAGAACCACTTTAAACTTTTTAGGTTTCTACGATTAGTTTTTAACAAACTTACGTTTAAAACTTCGTAGCTCTCCCCATTTTCTCTTCCTGTTGAAAATCCACAGCTGGCGCACAAAGCATGCTGGGATAGCCTCGTTCTGTGAGGATACAACAGACGCGTCCTCGAAATGTGGGTGGAGCGAGGACCAATTTGAGGACGCGAGAATGAGTATAGAGCTCCGGGAGTTGACGTCACTTCTCCCGGCATGCAACAGTTCAAATCGAAACGGCGCCATATTGTCAGGTAGAAGCCGGCAGCTGGACTATTTGTTATTGTAGAAAACTCAATCAAACGGGAAATATGGTAGATTCCTGTTGTGCCCCAGGATGCAGAACAGACACGGACAACATAAGGAATGAGCCTTCTACAGGATTCCCCAAGATCCAGAGCGCCGCAAATGTTGGATCATTGTAATAAAACGCGCTAGTGACCGGGCTGAAATGAAACTGTGGGATCCCGAGAGTAAAGGTTTTTGTTTATGCAGCGACCGCTTCATATCAGGTACTTAAACCAACATTTCCTCAACTGTGTATGGTGTTTATATTAAATGCTTTTATTACGATTCTTAGTGGGCTTCCTAAACTTATTTTGGCGTGGCTTTTTCTGTCTTATTACTCATAGCAACAAGTAAACGTCACGTAAAACGTTGCCTCGTGATTTCTGCGTGCTGCCGTTTACGTGTTTTTATGATCACAGCAATTAACCGTCTAAGCTGTGTTTCATTTTTAAGCAATGGTTGATCAATTGTCAGATCACACATAAAAAGCACTTTGGATTGTTATTATCTGTCTCGCCGAGACAGATCTCAGACAGATCCTGAGACGCTCCTGCCTGACATTTTTATTTTATTCACGGAAAAAAATCAAACTAGTGATTTCTCTTGGCGTTCAGTTTATACATTCAAACAGCACATCACTCTATTTAAACTACTTACGTGTAAATCTGTTATTTGTCCATCAATTTTCATCCGCGTATCCGGAGTCGGGTTGCGGGGGAAGTAGCGTCAAGAGTCCCAGACTTCCCTCTCCCCAGCCGCCTGAGCCAGCTCCTCCGGGGAAATCCCAAGGGGTTCCCCGGCCAGGTCCGGTAAGAAGTCCGCTCCGACAGCTTCTGGCGTTTTTAAAAAGTATCCCAGGGGCACGGTAAGGGTCGGAGATGTTTAGTCTATTTAATTTCTGACTATGTAAAACGATTTCTTCAGTTTTAAAGTGTGACGTAAACTCCGACGAAGTAAAATCCAAGCTGATCCCGTTCACGTTCATGTTTACGATCCGTGTTTGTTTAGCTTCTTTTACCTGCCAATATTGCGTCTACTAACAGAGTCACGTGGGGTCCGGAGCTCTATTCTTGGAATTCGGACAGTACTCGTCGCTGCGCTGTGACGTCATCGAACTCAAAATGCGCTCTTACAAGAATCCTTCCCGGATTCAGATACACCCATTGTCAAATTGGTATTCATGGACTCACCCATCTTGGCTCGCAACAGGAAGGCTGTTTTTGGTTCAGCGTCCAGGAAACAGTAGAGAATGTCTGCTCGGCTAGAACAAGCTTACTGTAGTTTCCACAACACAGCAGAACTCTTCCAGGCTTGTGTTATTTGTGGAGATAAAACAACAACTTTGCAAAGCAGACTGAGTCAATGGTAGAGTCCCGTTTATGTTAGCCAATCAGAGGTGAGATATCTGAATATCAGGAAATAAACTCCAAAACCTGCCATGCTCTGCTCCCCTCTGCTCTGCTTCGCTTCTAGTTCCTGAAACAGGAGCGCCAGAGTTTTTTTTTTCTCCACAGAGATCAATTCACAAGGCATTTATTAATGCTAGAAACCACTGCAGATGTTTTGAAAAAACGAGTAAAGTTGGTCTTTAACACTATGATGCTTCTAAAGCTAGATGTTAGCTCTTCAGTGCAGTAAGAATTAATCTGTTTCCTTCAATCATAATCTGTCCGGAAAACCCTGTTCCCAAAAAATTTGGACTTTTACTTAAAAATTAGGATCACACTCCTGAGCCTTCCTGGTAATGTCTATTCAGGGGTTCTGGAGAGGAGGGTCCATCGGATTGTTGAACCTCAGATTCAGGAGGAGCAATGTGGTTTTTGTCCTGGCCGTGGAAAACTGGACCAGCTCTATACCCTTAGGGGGATCCTGGAGGGTGCGTGGGAATTTGCCCAACCAGTCTACATGTGTTTTTTGGATTTGGAGAAGGCATTTGACCGCGTCCCTCGGGGGGCCCTGTGGGGGGTACTCCGGGAGTATGGGGTACCAGGCCCTCTGATACGGGCTGTTAGGTCCCCCCTGTATGACCGGTGTCAGAGCTTGGTCCGCATTGCCGGCAGTAAGTCGGGCTCGTTCCCAGTGAGAGTTGGACTCCGCCAAGGCTGCACTTTGTCACCGATACTCTTCATAACCTTTATGGACATGATTTCTAGGCACAGCCAAGGTGTGGAGGGTATCCGTTTTGGTAGCCTGAGGATCAGGTCTCTGCTTTTGGCAGATGATGTGGTCCTGTTGGCTTCATCAGAACGTGATCTTCAGCTTTCGCTGGAGTGGTTCGCAGCCGAGCGTGAAGCAGCTGGCATGAGAATCGGCTCCTCTAAATCTGAGACCATGGTCTTGAATCGGAAAAGGGTAGAATGCCTTCTCCGGGTCAGGGATGAGGTCCTGCCCCAAGTGGAGGAGTTTAAGTATCTCGGGGTCTTGTTCACGAGTGAGGGAAAACTGGAGCGTGAGATCGATAGGCAGATTGGTGCTGCATCTGCAGTGATGCGGGCGTTGTACCGGTCTGTCGTGGTGAAGAGAGAGCTGAGTCAGAAGGCGAAGCTCTCAATTTACCGGTCGATCTACGTTCCTACCCTCACCTATGGTCAGGAGCTTTGGGTAGTGACCGAAAGAACGAGATCACGGATACAAGCGGCCGAAAGGAGTTTTCTCCAAAGAGTGGCTGGGCTCTCCCTTAGAGATAGGGTGAGAAGCTTGGTCATTCGGGAGGGGCTTGGAGTAGACCCACTGCTCCTCCACATTGAGAGGAGCCAGTTGAAGTTGCTCGGGCATCTGGTCAGGATGCCTCCTGGACGCCTCCCTGGTGAGGTTTTCCAGGCACGTCTAACCGGGAGGAGACCTAAAGGTACCCAGGACACGGTGGAGGGACTATGCCTCTCACCTGGCCAGGGAACGCCTTGGGATTCCCCCGAAGGAGCTGGCCCAAGTGGTTGGGAAGAGGGAAGTCTGGGCCTCTTGCCTTAGGCTATTGCCCCCGTGACCCGACTCCGGATAAGCTGATGAAAATGGATGGATGGATGGACTTAAAAATTAGCTCCTAGTCGCATAAATAATGACTTAAAGTCAGTAAAATGCTTCAAAACTTTATCTTATCTCAATTTTTGACAGAAAGGGAGATCATGTTGACTTTTGCCAAACTGTGGAGAAAACAATTGAAAACAAACTGTTTTCCATGTTTTAGCTCCTTAATTTTGTTGTACATGTAACTGGTCCAGTAACAAACAGGCTATTCTATTCTATTAATAAGCAGTAAAAGCTTTATCTCGGAATGTTAGACCGGAGAGTCGACCTACCCTGGAGCTTGATTGACTTTGCATGAGCAGAAAAAGCTCTGAACAGGCTGTAACATGAGCTCCAGGCTCCTTTGTTTACCGTGTCTGACCTGGTTTCTGGGGATCCTGTAAGCTAGTGACTGCAGAGCTAAACCAGCAGATCAGGGTTTCCTAAAAAACGTGCCTGTCAACAGTCTGTTCATCCAGTTTGCTGTTTGACATCAGTAGACGTGTCCTGCATTACTTACACATACATTACGTTTGTGTGTGTGTGTGTGTGTGTGTGTGTGTGTGTGTGTGTGTGTGTGTGTGTGTGTGTGTGTGTGTGTGTGTGTGTGTGTGTGTGTTTCAGTGGTCAGTAATGTCAGCGAGCTGCTTGGCCTGGACTCCTTCCAGCTGTCAGAGGTGCTGACCCAACGCTCCATGATCCTCAGAGGAGAGGAGATCTGCTCCCCCCTCACTGTGGAGCAGGTAAACACAATCCCAACCTGATTGGGTGATCTACACTTGCTGTCCTCTATCGTCCTTCTCCCCTGATCCACACACACATTCACAGTCTCACACACACACACACACACACACACACACACACACACACACACACACACACACACACACACACACACACACACATTCACAGTCTCACACACACACACACACACACAGAGCCTTTCTTTGCTGCCCCACACCACATGTCTCTCCAGATCCCTTGCGTGACTCCCAGCCATTTCCTGCTTTTTGTCTGCCAGATTCCAGGCACAATAAAGCCATCGTGATACTGATCTGAGTCAAAAGCACAATGGAACCAGTGGCTGGGGGTGAAGTATGTGTCTTCTCCTCTGGAATCGGTGCAGCCAGCCACCGAGACGCTGGCATAATAACTCACTGATGTCTCACTTTTTGCTTCAGATTTCCATGCCGTCGTCTGTAATTCATGGGAATATTTCTCAAGTTGTCGTTTGCATGTGTTATCCCTTTCAACATGTGCCACAAGGACATTTTGACTCGTGACAGTGTCCCTGTTTTGCGGCGCTTAACCCCCTCAGCCCACTCATAGTCGTAAATGTCAGCAAATGTGCAGCACAGACCTTTACTATTATCACAAGGACACGAAAACCACAAGAAAGCTTTTCATTAGCAGACAAAGAGCTCGTACTGTCACTCCGCTGCTGCTTGTTGTGCCTGGCCTTTGAAGCAGCTTGTCTCTTAAAAGACTTCATTATTCCATTTCTGGAGTTCACAAGAATGACTTCTTCTCACAACGGGCCAGGGGTCACTCACCCGCACCGTCCCGCCCTCCCTCCGGAGTCCTTATTCCACACCATGGTGGACAAACAGCCATTCTTCTCACCCCCGTGGCAAAGATCCTGGAGCCACCGGCGCTCTCTTCACACCCGCTAACTTCGAGAAGCATGATGGATGACTCAAACGTCCAGGAGAATTGTTGCTTTAAGTACAGTATACATGCCAGCATGCTTTTTTGTTTAATTTTCAGTTGAAGCACAATTCCTTTGGAGTGAAGTGGAGCCGACGAAGTAGGTGTGTAGACAATGTTTGGCTGACGGGATAAAATCAGATTTAAGTTGTAAGTTTGCTTTAAAGGCGACACATCATGCAAAACTCAACTTTCGCATCTTTAGTGTTGCCATGTAGGTCTTTACGCCCCCTATCAACACTCCAAACGTGAAAAAAATCTGTCCATGCATTTTCCGTCATTGATTGGTTTAAGAAAATATGTGCCTAAAACAAGGCATTTTAAAAAGGCCTAGTTTGTCATGTCACAAATGGGGACATTAGCATAGAACACCCGTTCTCATGCAAGAGAGAGCTGCTGCACGAGGAGAAGCGAACCTGAACCTCTCCCACATGTCGGAGCTTCTCAGCTTATAGCAGCATGAGTGCGGGTTAGGTGGGTGTTGCCAGCTCTCGCTAGTTTTCAAGTCCTGAAATGGCTCATTCTGGAAGGTACTGAAAATGACAAGAATAAAACTGCTGACATCCCTTTAGGTGAGAGGGATTTTGTGTGTTTGGCTGAACTATTAAAACCTAAGAAACTTAGGAAAACCATATTGAAATTCTGTTTTAGTGGGCTTCTCCAGTCACTTTGTAATTTAATTAGAGAAAAAAGCCAGAATGGTGGAGTTCAAGATACATTCTGGAGAACAAAAAAAAAACCTTTGAGTGAACTGAAATTAGGAACTTCATAAAGTCTGGAATGAAGCTTGTTTATTTTTAAACGTCATTGATCTAAAGAGTCGTGAAAGCATGCCGTTGCATTCCTCTGATTCAGTTTGTTTTAACTGTTTTTTTTAGATGAAACCTGCATGAAGTGCATCACTCTTAAGAAATGTAGATGATAAACAGAGTTATCTGTTGTGTCAACACACAGTAGACAGAAAACACACCTCTGTCTCCAAACCGCTATTTGTTTTATGGACACGCTGCTGAGCATCACTCTGCTCCGCCACCAACAGACCTAATTAAACCTCCTCTCTGTGCTGATATATATCCTGTGTTTGGGGCATTGTGTGCAAAGTTTTCTCCTCCGAATTAGCTAAACATTGCATGGTATCCATGGTAACCCTTATCTCTGTGTGCCATCTTGCGCAGGCGGTGGATTCGCGGGACTCTGTCGCCATGGCGCTGTACTCCCAGTGTTTTTCCTGGATCATAATGAGGATCAACCAGAAGATCAAAGGGAAGGACAACTTCAAGTCCATCGGCATCCTGGACATCTTCGGATTTGAGAATTTTGAGGTGAAGCCCCCCTTGCTATTCTGACTCATTCAGGAAAATGTGGAGCATTTCCCTAAATTCCAATCGTCGGACTGGATGTCCACCAATCAAAAGCTGTCTGCACACACAGAGACTCAGACCATATGGTTATCCAGAATCTTAGGACCAATGATAAAATGTTTGAGCACTATCAAACCACGGAGGCCTTGAGGACCAAATTAGGCTAATAAATAATATAACAGGGTTAACAGTCTATTCATCCGGTTTACTGTTTGACATCAGTAGACGTTGCGGGAGGTGTCGCGCGCTCCGTCCCGCAGGGTTCCTCTGTGAGAGAGGGGGTGGGGGGGTGGGGTGGGGGGGTTGCACACGTTCCGCTGCTGTTTCTCACCGGTATCAGCTGATGGAGGGCTCTAGTTTTGTTGTGCCGTTCGTGTCAGCGGACACAGTAGGGTCGGGGAGGGGGGCGGGGCATGACGCTTAGCCTGGCGGGTGGCCAAGCAAAGCCTGGCGAGCTGCCAGGCTTTTAAGGCACTGGGGGAAACTCTGTATAATACATATAAATATAATTATAAAAAATGTTTATGGGTAGTGACCGGAAGAGTGAGATCGTGGATTCAAGCAGCTGAAATGAGTTTCCTCCACAGGGTGGCTGAGCTCTCCCTTAGAGAAGCTTGGTCATCTGGGAGAGGCTTGAAGTAGATCCGCTGCTTCTCCACATCCAGAGGAGCCAGTGGAGGTGGCTCGGGCATCTGGCTAGGATGCCTCCTGAACGCTTCCCTGGTGAGGTTTCCTGGGAACGTCCAGCAGGGAGGAGACCCAAATGGAGACCCAGGGCACACTGGAGGGACTATGTCTCTCAGCTGGCCAGGGAACACCTTGGGATTCCTCCAGAAGAGCCGGCCCAAGTGACTGGGGAGAGGGAAGTCCGGGCCTCTCTGGTTAGGCTACTGCCCCTGCGACCCAACACTGGATGAGTGGAAGAGAATGGATGGATGGATTCATTAAAATTAAAAAACCTTTTCAGCTACTGTATGCAAATACAATTAAACTACACTGTAAAAAACTAAATGTTGAATTTACTTAATTAAGGAACACCTGGTTCAACTAAACCTAGTTGCTTAAACGTAAAGGGTAATAAACATTGTTATATGAAGAAGTGAAAAGGCACACTGCTCTTCATCCAATTGAGTATCAGTGCTCAATAGCTACGACCAACAACTATGACGTGGAAGAAGAAGGCTGGAGCACTCAGGTCAAAGTAAAAAGGTGCAAATTAAACCAACAAATATTTCCTGAGCACAGCCACAGCTGCAGCTCACTGCTTCCCATGAGGACGGGTCAAATGCGGAGATGAATTTCACCAGTGTGTGATGAATTAATGAGAATTTACCTTTAACTTTAATAAACGAACCAACGTTTCAACATTGCTGTCTCTGTCAGAGCTCATTGTTACTTGTTGTTATATTGAAAGTAAATTTATATCACATGAAGTAAATTTAACATTTAGTTTCTTAGAGTGTAGATGACACTCAAATATTGTATTTGACATAACAGACGATAAAAACACAAGCTACAAGAAAAAAGATAGATACTGTATAATAAAATTTATATGGATTATCAACAGATTTGAATACATGTTTTTATCAGCATTAAAATCATCATTTTAAATGACTTAATGTGTTTAAATGCAATCATTAATTAGTCTGTTGTCCTTGGAAACATTCACGGTGCAGCAGTAGTGATAGCAATGAGCACAAGAGAGGAACAAACTAGAAAAAAATAGATGTGTGTCATTAGACTCACTAACATCAATAAACTCGGTGTCCGGTGGGTCTAAAATGACATTTTCCATCCTGCAGGTGAACCGGTTTGAACAGTTCAACATCAACTACGCGAACGAGAAACTCCAGGAGTACTTCAACAAGCACATCTTCTCGTTGGAGCAGCTGGAGTACAACAGGTCAAAACATACACACAAGATGCGTGTCGTTTCAAAATAAAGCAGGATTGAGATCGTTGATGTGAGCCTGCTCAAGGGAAAAGGCCTAGACCAGCAGCAGCTTAGACATGGCTCATTTCATCACATATGATGCTGGATAATACAGCCACTGTGTCGTACACATTTCTGTATTTGTATTTATACTTGTGTGTGTGTGTGTGTGTGTGCGCACATTCATGTGTGTGTGTGCGATCACAGGGAGGGGATCCAGTGGGAAGCCATAGACTGGATGGATAACGCAGAGTGTCTGGATCTCATTGAGAAGGTAACGCAGTCAGGACGTGAGAGAGCAAAAACCATGGCGCGTTTCACCCCTAACCACCAGCCGGAGGGAGCGGGCTGACCCAGACGCCACACTGTGCTCACACTGTGCTCACACTGACTCCCTATCATTATAGAGTCTCAGTTTGCATGTTGTTTAAACAGTAATGTACACCAGTCAGTGGTTGGAGGTATGGCTGAAATAAAGATGGACAAACATTTTGTCATTTTACCACAAACGGTTCTTTATAAAGTCTGAAAGTTTTGCAAAGGAAGCAAAAATACACACAAATTACTGCTTTTTATCCTTTCCCAAATCTTTGATTTTTCACGTTATTAGTGAGCTTTTGGAAAACGGTGATTCAAAGCATCTTCGTGCACGGATTCCCTTTCCGGAATCCTTTTAATATAAACGGAATGGTTTACTTTGCAGTTTCCTGGTTGTATTGTTCTAATATAAAGTACCAGATGTTTTCCAGTGGGATTATAACTAGTTTTGTCACGACCATGATGAGCTTCAGCCCTTTTCTTCTGTCTGTTCCCCCTTTTAGAAACTGGGCATGTTGGCTCTTATCAATGAGGAGAGTCGCTTCCCCAAAGGCACAGACTACACCCTCCTGGAGAAACTGCACAGCCGACATGCGGTGAGTCTTCACAGGGAACATTCTCAGATGTGTAGTCTCTGACCCTCTCAGACACACTCACACACAAAATAACTGGCCAACCCTGACTAAGGAAGTGTATTTAAGAGTTCAACCTTCATTCTGGCTGTCTGTGTTGCATTGAAAGTCAAAATGGCACCTTGAATACTCCCGATGAGCGCTCTCTCACACACTGAAATGTGATCAGCCATTCTCCAGCTCTGATCATATTTGTGTTTGTGAAGAGCAGAGTTTTCTATGGCACACGGAAAAACTAAACAAACAGGAACAAACCTACTGAAACTGCCAGACCTCTTCCCTGAAGAGCATGACTGAGGTTTTATTGTCTCACAACAATAGTTAGACTGATTGAAAATGCTATTCTACTATTCTAGATATGTCATAGGATGAAATACAATACACATCTTTGCATGCCAAGGCTCTGCAACCTGTGGATCTTGAGCCTCTTGTGGCCTTTTGGGACTAGTTTGCATATTTTTATGGATATTGGGCTATTATTAGAATGATTAGCAATAACATTTGCTCCATTTCCTAGCTTTTTACTACCAGCAGCAGTCGGAGAAGTCAGTATTCCAATATGGCAACGCACACCTCCCAAGTAGCCATTGTTTGCAGATTCCTCTTAATAACGTAGTTTTAAACTGCACCTTCAACATGCAAACAAAACTTTTAGTATGTTCAGCATAGAGTTGCAAGAAACTACATGTAACATTGCTTTTAAACACGCTCTCATAAGTGTGTTTTGTAAAATAAGCACATTTTACCCAAAAGTTACCATTGTGGATACAGAGAGCTGCCATTTTGGATATCGAGGTCAGAGTTCTGAAATTCTTCCGAGTTTGTGACTCGGAGGTCCAACTTTGGCGCTTCATTTGAATTTTCCTACTCGGAAGACGGAATTTTCGAGTTCCAAGGACAAATCGAACGCACCACCTGGTACTTATAACACCAGCCTGAGCTATGGCTAACGCTATAGCCCAAGATACTGCTAAAGCTAGCCTTAATACTGCTAACGCAGGGCATGCATTTTAGTGATGGGAATTCCGGCTCTTTTTAGAGAGCCGGTTCTTTTGGCTCAGCTCACCGAAAAGAGCCGGCTCTTTCGGCTCCCAAGTGGCTCCTCAGATTTTCTGTTGCGTAGAGTTCATTTATAACCAAAATAATGCTAAACTATATGTAAAATAATTTACTAATGTAAAAAAAAGCAATATTTCAAATGTTTATCATTTCTATGGATTTAATAACTGAACACTTTAAGAAATCTCCACTGTCCGACTGCTGGCGCTCATTTTCTCACCATCTTCGTCGCACTCTCCTCTCTCTCTCTCCTTTTTCCTCCTCCTCATTCCCTCTTGTCTCCCTCCACCCGCATGCGCTCTGCTGTGTGTCTGTCTGAGTCTGATCCTCCCTCTTCCCCGCCCCTACTGCTCTGTGTGTGGACAGTCTGGACACACAGTTACACATGTTGACCAATCGCCTGTAGCTTTCACCAAGGCAGGGGGGAGGGGAGGGGACGGCTCCCAATGACGAGCCGGCTCCCGTCGTTCACTTCAAAGAGTCGGCTCTTAGAGCCGGTTCGTTCGCTACCGACACATCACTAATGCATTTGACCCTCTTCACACGCTTCCACACCACACCTCCAATTACTCACGCTGAACAACCAATAACCCCCCACACCCTTCCCCTACCCCCGTTCTCATGCATTGAAAAGTTCAAAAGTTAGCAGCCCTGGCTAATGCCAGGTCTTGCTACTAGTCTGAGGTAATGATAATACTAGCCCAAGCTATTGCCAAAGCTTGCCAAAGTTACTGCTAATGCTAGAGCAAACTACTGCCAATGTTAGCCTGAGCTACTGACACCCATTTTGGACGAGTGGAAAGCTACTAAGAAGGATCTACTGGGAATATCCAGACTATTTTGAATGCCAGTTAGATCCATAGCTTGTGGTCCTTGTCATTGTGATTACCACTTTGTTCCCCGCTCATCCACTCCTGCACCACATCGTGCTCCAGAGCTTTTGGGTTATTGTGTAAAGTTTAGTATGCTATTGAGTCCTCAACTAAACCATTTTCTAGTGAACCTTTAGAACATTATTTTCATCACTACCAAACCTAAAATACCCGTATATTTTAAATATTAGATTATCTCAATTTCAAAGTTTAAGGTTAAAAACAGTGTCAGATATAGGGAACTGGACCCAAAAGCAAGGCTCGAGAACGAGGAGGTAAAAAGCAAATGACCTTTATTAAAGCAGAGGTCAAAAGCAAGTTAAAAAAAATCCAACAAACAAATCCAAGTAAGCTGGCAAAAGGGCAGAGTAACTGAAAGGAGAACAGAGCGAGGTTAAATACAAGTGAGCACAGCTGGGATGAATCTGGTTAACGAAGGACAGGAAGTGACACAGGGGAGAGAGGAGGATGTCAAAGTAAGACAGGAAACAAAGAACTGGGCTCTTGGCAAGGTGTGACAAACAGTGTGCACATCTTTAATGAACATTATCATTTTCAAAAATGTTATTTTATCTTAACATTTTCTTTACTTTGTCAGAAAGTGTTATTTGTGAATAATCATTTACTGCAGCATCAGAAATCATTAAGCTGTCTGCTGAACTCTCAGAGAGCTTAGAGTACCAGCTTTGCTAATCAGCTAATTATTAATTAAATACGGTCATAAAAACTTCCTGTCTTCTCTCATCAGGCAAATTCGTACTATGTGAAGCCCAGAGTGACCGACCACCAGTTTGGCATCAAGCATTATGCCGGAGAGGTGATTAACTATGCATGTACACACACACACACACACACACACACACACACACACACACACACACACACACACACACACACACACACACACACACAAGCCCTTTTCTCTTCTCGAACTAAATGCTCTGGGAAGTGAGGTAATTGCTGGATGAGAAGATGGATCTTCTTTGCCAAAATCTTCTGCAGGATTTTAATGCATCTTTTTTCATGAGTCAGGAGAAACCTATTCTCCTTCCTTTCCTCACACACGGATTTACTCCTGAAGGGAAGAGCAGGAAGACGATGAGGGCAGAAGGGCAAACACAGAGACTGAATAGGGAAAGGGGTGTGTGGGATCTGGTGCTGGTCCAGGAAGATTCGGCTTCATAAGGAATGACTGTGATTCCTGTCTGAGACAAGGCCTCCTCAGTGTGAACGCTGCAGCTCAGTCACAAGCCTGGTAGAGATAGTAATGGTAATGACCCGGATCAGAGATGACAGACCGTTGTTTCCTTTCTTCAGCCTGAATCTGGGGCATTTAGTCGAAAAGGGTGTCTTGTTTATTCTGTTCCTCACCTTTGTTTTCATTTGTAACAGGCATGTAAAAATGAAACTCTGTGCATAAAACTGATTTCTGCACCAGACTGTTTGTAATTCACCTTCAGAATCATGTTTGTGTAGATATTGGTGCAAACTTGTAAACTGTATCGCACCAATGCTGCTGTGGATTCATTAACAGCAGCAGAATGAGTGCTCCTGAGACCTAAATACGTGTTTGATCAAGTTCAGAACTCACGGAGCCTCCGGGCATTGTGAATGCACACTATTGTAAAACTCACGTGTAAACGGATGATTTTGCACACAGTTATATTTTGGTGCAAAATTGAGAGAGTACACACACATTCTAAGAGTGTAACTGTGGATGAGTGTGAGCTAAGAATGTTGTTACTCAACACAACAGGTGACGGCTGCAGCGCAGTCGTGTTCCGCTGTGCTCGATCAGACCCCGGGGTGGTTTTTATTTTTTATGCACTTGCAGTAAATCACTCCTGTCGTGTGTGTGAACGTGTGAGACTGACGGATTGAAGATAAATGCTTTTTTCTAAATGAATCACATCTAAATTAAATTTCTGCAGAATGACATTAAACTTCTAGGAATTGAAATAATTGTTTTTTTGTGTTTTCTTTGCAAAGATCAACAATCGACCTCAACACCAAATGAATGTTTTGTTCCTTTTCTTTACAATTAAAAGTAAACTATTTGCTAGTTTTCGCTTATTTTTTAATATTCCAGTTACTGACTTTTATTTGTTTGGTTATTTTCTGTAGCAGAATTTGAATTATTTTAAAGTTTACAAATAAACGTTTTCATTTATCTTCTATACGTCATAGAAGATGTTTATTCCACACGCAGTCAGGTCTCACTGGTGTTTTCTTAAACCGGTTCAGGTGTTGTATGATGTGCGAGGAATCCTGGAGAAGAACAGAGACACCTTCAGAGATGACATCTTATTTATTCTCAAAGACAGCAGGTGAGCACTTGTCCTTTCTGTTCTGTATGCCATGTCTGTACGATACGAATGCTTTCCACGATCATCGGTCCTCAGGCTTGACTTCATCTACGACCTGTTTGAGCGCGTGGGCAGCAGAAGTGGAGACGAGACTCTAAAGATGGGCACCGCTCGACGCAAACCAACCGTCAGCTCTCAGTTTAGGGTAAGGCTGAAACTCTTGTGACTCTAAAAACATGTTTCTTTAATGATTTTCTCATCACACTCACAGCAAATTATTCCCCTGTCCACATTATGAGTTGACGATGGAGGGAAAATGTGGTTGTGAGCTGGGCCGTGGGTGGAGGAGGGGATTGAGAGAAGATCTTAGCCCAACATGTCCTAAATGCAGAGTGGAGAGAACAAGCAGGGGAGGATTTGGCGCTCTGCCCTGGCACACAGATCCAAAAAGTCAGGGGATTATATGGCTGGGCAGAGAGGGGGCCAACCAGGGGCCAATCACATTCAGCGCTGCCAGGCCGGGCCTTTCTGGAGACAGACTGTCTGAAATAGACAGAAAAACGAGGCTGAAAAAGTTCAGGGGTCTTCAACAGTGTTTGTACGTCTCATATGTGCCCAGTTCAAATAAATGTTTCATATTTTGGCTGAATTTTCTACATTTTTAGGTGTTTAACGAAACAGTATTATTAGAAATCAGTCTTTGCAGTGAAATTTTATGAACGCTTTGTTTCTTTATAAAAAGACTATTAATATGATGGCAGAATCCTCCTGTGGGGGTGTTTTCTCTTACACTGCGAAAAATACATTTTCAAGAAAGTAAGAAAAGTCTTGTTTCTAAACAATATATCTTATTTTTAGTCTAAAGAGAAAACACTTATCAGCAAAAAAAATGCCACTAATGAATAAAATATGGCAAATATTCATGCATGTTCTGCATATGATTAAATCTTCTTGTTATAAGTTAAAGAAAATCCGCCGATGGTGTAAGCAAAGGTTGCTAGACTAGAATTCTTAAAATTAGAAAAAATGGATATAATGTTTGTTTGATTTATTTATTTATTCATTCATTCGTTTGTTTTATTAGAGGTGTGGATTACTCGTTTAATCAGTACTTTTGCAGTGGTCTCTTGTAGAAATGAATGCCTTGCAGGCAGAACTCAGGGCACAAAAATGCCCACAAACCCCGGTCCAGCAGGGCAACATCTGCAACTAGAGCCCTTCACTGAAGCCCTAGGCCCTCGGGTCGGCTCGGGTCGGCCCGGCCCGACGGCCCTCGGGCCGGGCTTCGGGCCAATGACTGTGTAATTACCTCGGACATGGGCCGGGCGCCTTTATTTTTAATCGAATTCATTAAAAAAAATTGAAACACTAAATCACTCAAGAAAAGATTCCCATCTGAACATCTGAGCTGGACACTGCTCAGCGCAGCTCGCTGTCAGCGTATACTACATAAGGTCCACAGCAAGCTGAAGATGTGGAGAGGGGCTTGGAGCGCATCGCAGAACCAGAGCGCATGCGGGAAGGTTCCTCCGACTGAAGCGAGCGTTTTCCAAACCCTGTCTTTCAGAGAGACTTGTCACTTAGAAAATGTTCCCCGATTATGAAACTTTGGCTGAATAGCGCTTGTTCCTGTCTCCAATGTGGCGACACATCCAGGAGCCGTCTGAGGAGAAGCCCAGAATCTAACATCCTTCAGCTCAGAAAGCGCATATGATTACGCACAAGCGTGACACGTCAACCCGGTCTCACAGTAAGACCGGGTTGGAACTGTTCAGGTTTACGCAGACAATCTTTACATTTAGAATTAGCATACAGATGTAAAATTAATGCAGTAAAATATAAAGCATTTTATTTAAATATCCATTCATTATTTTACAAGCACAGAGAGCCGCATCAGATGGATGGAAGTGTCATGGCTCGAGGTAAGTGCCTAACCCAAGACATGCAGAATCATCACACAAGTCCAAAAAATAAAGTAAAATGTCTTTATTATAAACGGAACTAAGAACTGCTACAGGGAAGTCCTGTGCTGAGGAGCCAAGACGGCTCGAGTCTTTGAGGTGTCGGTGCTGAGAGGAAGTGTAGCCGGGAAGGACGCTGAGCAGAGGATGAGAGATGTCGTAGAGTGAGGCAGCAGAGGGAAATCCGAGCCGGAAACGTCGGAGGAGGACGGGACGTGTAGAATAATCCAGAATTGGAGACAGCGAGGGTGAGATGATGATGAGGTGATCCTGAGCGAGGCAAACAAGTATAAGGGAATATCCAAATCCAAATCCGAAACTACGATCCAAGGTCAATAATCCAAACACGAGTTAAACAGGTTTCAAGGTTCAAGGTCGAGTGGCTGGTGCTACCTGAACTGGTACAATCATCCGGCGAAATGAAGTGTCTCCGTCCTCCTTTTAAACCTGCGTTCCTGATTAGGGAATCGTCTGCAGCTGTAGTTCCCTCTGCTCCCCACCTGCGGAGAATGAACTCAGGTTCTGGTGAGAGGAGATGATGGAACTCACCTCTGCTCAGGGACATGACAGTGCCCCCCCCTCAACGGACGCCCCCTGGCGTCCCAGCACGGGATCTGGAGGCCTCGAAGTCGGAGATTAGAGAGGGATCCTCGATGTAGGAACGGGGAACCCAGGAACGTTCCTCCGGACCATATCCCTCCCAGTCCACGAGATACTGGAAACCCCGACCACGGGGGCGGGAGTCGAGGATGCGCCGAACCTTGTACACCAGTCCCCCTCTGTAGAGCCGAGCAGGAGGAGGCGGAGCCGGGGCTGGGCACAGAGGGCTGGAAACGACGGGCTTCACCAGGGAGATGTGGAACACAGGATGGATCCGGAGCGACGAAGGAAGCTCCAAACGCACGGTCGTCGGGCTAGGAACCGCCAATACTCTGAAGGGACCAAGGAACCTTGGAGAGAACTTCCTAGAGGTAGCCTTCAGCGGTACATCCCTGGAAGACAACCAGACCCTTTGACCAGGAGAGTAAGTGGGAGCTGGGCGGCGGTGTCGGTCAGCCAGTCGCTGGTTCCTCTCCGCGGTCCGTTGAAGGGCCGATCTCGTGGCGACCCAGGTGCGACGGGCCCGACGAAGGAACTGAGGAGCGGTGAGGGTGGTCTCTGCCTGAAGGGGGAACAGAGAGGGCTGATACCCGAGGGAGGATTCGAAGGGAGACTGACCTGTGGCGGAGGAGACATGGCTATTATGGGCATACTCGACCCAAGCCAAATGCTCGCTCCAGGTGGACGGGCTGGTGGCACAGACGCAGCGAAGCATAGCGCCCAGTTCCTGGTTCATCCGCTCGCATTGTCCATTGGTCTGCGGATGAAACCCCGAGGTCAGGGCCACCTGGGCACCCAAGGCAGTGGCGAATTCCTTCCAGACGCGGGATGCGAACTGGGGACCACGGTCAGAGAGGATCTCTGTTGGGATTCCGTGCAGACGAAAAACATGTTTTATTAACAACTGGGCCGTAACGGCAGAGGTAGGGAGGGCCTTTAACGGCACCAGATGACAGGCTTTGGAGAACCTGTCCACCACAGTCAAAATAACAGTAAAACCACGCGAAGGTGGCAAACCACAAACAAAGTCCAAGGCGATATGGGACCAAGGACGGGACGGTACTGGTAGAGGACAGAGCAGACCTGCAGGAGGCTGGTTAGAGCCCTTTTGCTGAGCACAGACATGGCAGGCCGACACATACTCCTTCACGTCTTTGTAGAGGGAGGACCACCAGAAAGATCGCCTGATCAGAGCCACTGTGCGTCCCACTCCGGGGTGGATGGAAAATCTCCCGGTGTGAGCCCAGTGGATAACTTTTCCCCGTAATCCTTGGGGAACAAACAGTTTGTTAGAGGGTCCGTTACCTGGCCCGGGATCAGTCTTAAGGGCCTCCAGGACCTGGTCTCTTATGGGCCAGGTTACTCCTGCGACAATGCAGGAGGAAGGCAGAATGGTGCAAGGAGCCGTCTCATCCTCTGCAGCATACTGTCGGGACAGGGCGTCAGGCTTCACGTTCTTAGACCCCGGTCTATAGGATAGAACAAAATTAAAACGGGAGAAGAACAAAGACCACCTGTACTGTCGAGGATTTAGTCTTTTTGCCTCCTTTAGATAGATCAGGTTTTTATGATCAGTCCAAATGATGAAAGGTAGTTCAGCTCCCTCCAGCCAATGTCTCCACTCTTCTAAAGCCAGTTTTACAGCCAGTAACTCCCTGTCCCCAACGTCATACCTGCTCTCAGTGGGTGTTAAGCGCCGAGAGTAGAAGGCACACGGATGGAGTTTGTGGTCCTCCGACGATACCTGAGAGAGCACTGCCCCGACCCCGGTGTCCGAGGCGTCCACCTCCACGGTGAATTGCCGCTTGGGGTCTGGTCTAGAGAGGACGGGAGCCTCCGTGAACTTCTTCTTAAGTGTCCGAAATGCGGCTTCTGCTTCTGGAGTCCAAGAAAAGGGCTTGACAACAGAGGTTAGGGCTGTCAAAGGGGCTGCGGTCTGGCTATAATTGCGGATAAACCGTCTGTAAAAGTTTGCAAAGCCCAGGAACCGCTGCAGCTGTTTCCTGGTGGTAGGGGTAGGCCACTCCGTTACAGCTTGGACCTTATCAGGATCCGCCCTCAATCGTCCACTCTCTAAAACAAATCCAAGAAACTTAACAACAGACACATGAAACTCACATTTCTCAGCTTTCACAAAAAGTCTGTTCTCCAACAGCCGTTGGAGAACCAACCGAACGTGTCTTTTGTGTTGGGCCAAGGACCTAGAGAAAATCAAAATATCGTCAAGATATACAGTCACAAAGTCATTTATGTAGTCCCCCAACACAGAGTTCACAAGTCTCTGAAACACAGCTGGAGCATTGGTGAGACCAAAAGGCATCACTAAATATTCAAAGTGCCCCAGAGGTGTCTTAAACGCAGTCTTCCATTGGTCACCTTGGCGCACCTTGACCAAATGATATGCGTTGCGGAGATCCAACCGCGTAAAAACGGTGGCATCCTGCACAGGTTCAAAGGTAGACAAAAGCAGAGGAAGCGGGTACTTGTCCTTTACCGTTATTTGGTTTAAACCCCTGTAGTCTATGCAAGGGCGGAGCGAGCCATCCTTCTTGGCCACGAAGAAAAAACCAGCTCCCAGAGGCGAGGTGGATGGCCTGATAATGCCATTGGTCAAGGCCTCGTGGATGTACTGTCTCATACTGTCCTGTTCAGGCTTGGACAGACTGTAGAGGCGGCTGGTTGGGAGCGGAGCTCCTGGCAACAGGTCGATGCCAATATCAAACGGACGGTGAGGTGGTAACGTGGCTGCTTTATCTCTGCTAAACACCTGCTGTAAATCATGGTACTCACTAGGTACCTGGGTGAGATCTGGCGGCTCCCTAATAGTCCTTTCAGAGTCCTTAGATCCAGCTGCAGCAGAGGTTAAACAGGTTAGAAGACACTCTGGACTCCAGGTCTCGACACGGTTAGACCTCCAGTCCAGACATGGGTTGTGTTCCTTAAGCCAGGAAAGGCCTAGAACTATTTGGTTCTGCGGAGAGGGAAACACAAACAGTGAGGTTGTCTCTGTGTGGTTACCTGAGACCTGGAGCTGGAGTGGTTCAGTTCGGAGAGTGATGGTGGACAGAGACCTCCCGTCTAGGGAGGACACAGTTAATGGTTCCAGCAGTGGAACTGTAGACAGACCCCACTTGCGGACCAGTTGCGGGTCCACCAATGACTGTTCACATCCAGAGTCCACAAGAGCAGTCGTCTGGTAGCGACGACCGTTAACAGTCAATGCACATTCTATAAGGAAACGGGAGGTTTCTTTACCTGTCTGACTGCCCACCAGGACTCCCGGAACTACTGGTGGGCACGCCCTTTTGACGCCGCAGGGCAGGATTGCACCATGTGTCCTGGTTTACCACAGTAAAGGCACAGCCCCTTGCTGAAACGATGATGGCGTTCTTCCGGGGTGAGATGGGTACGTCCCACCTGCATAGGCTCCTCGGAGGCATCCAGAGGAGGAGACCTATAGGATGGGCGAGGTGCTGATGGTGGTGACAGATCCCTGGAAGATGTCTTCAGAAGCTCCCGATGTCTCTTGTCGATGGAGATGCATAAGGTGATCAACCCGTCCAGAGTTGGGGGTTCGGGGCAAAGAGCCAGCTGGTTCTTAACCCTGTCGTTTAAAGCCTCGATGAATGCTGCTTTGAGAGCTTCATCCCCCCATGATGTCATCGCAGCCAAAGTCCTGAATTCCAGAGACATGTCAACCACTGACTTCCTTCCCTGCGAGAGGCGCAAAAGTCTCTTCCTGATGTCAGTGGTGGTCTCGGAACTGCAAAAAGTGAGTTTAAACTCCTCCAGAAAATCAGAGTAGGAACCAGACAGAAAATCGGAATTTCTACTCTTAGCCTCTGCCCACCTAAGTGCTTTTCCTCTAAGAAGTCCAATAATAAAAGAAATCTTCATAGAGTCAGTAGGAAAAGACTTGGGGGATTCTTCAAACGCTAGGCGGCACTGCAGTAAAAATCCAAAACAATCCTCGAACTCACCGGAAAAAGTCGGGCATTGCCGAGGAGGAGCCGAACGGCAGTGGGTGATTTCCGGAAGACAGCGCGCTTCCTGTCCGGGTGAAACCACTCCTCCAGAGGCGTGGGCGTGTAGTGCTGTTCCATACTCCGGAGCGGCGGCTGGCGCTGGAGCGAGGACGGAAGAGGAGAGTTGTTCCTGGAGCTGCTGCAGTACGGTCTCTAAACGTTGGTAACGTTGGTTGGAGATGGTGATCTGCTCCACGAGGACGGGGAGTGTCTGCTCCTGTTGAGACATCCGGGTAGCCAGATCCGCGAGTGCTGATTCCGCTGGGTTAGCTACGTGGCCGGATGATTCTGTCATGGCTCGAGGTAAGTGCCTAACCCAAGACATGCAGAATCATCACACAAGTCCAAAAAATAAAGTAAAATGTCTTTATTATAAACGGAACTAAGAACTGCTACAGGGAAGTCCTGTGCTGAGGAGCCAAGACGGCTCGAGTCTTTGAGGTGTCGGTGCTGAGAGGAAGTGTAGCCGGGAAGGACGCTGAGCAGAGGATGAGAGATGTCGTAGAGTGAGGCAGCAGAGGGAAATCCGAGCCGGAAACGTCGGAGGAGGACGGGACGTGTAGAATAATCCAGAATTGGAGACAGCGAGGGTGAGATGATGATGAGGTGATCCTGAGCGAGGCAAACAAGTATAAGGGAATATCCAAATCCAAATCCGAAACTACGATCCAAGGTCAATAATCCAAACACGAGTTAAACAGGTTTCAAGGTTCAAGGTCGAGTGGCTGGTGCTACCTGAACTGGTACAATCATCCGGCGAAATGAAGTGTCTCCGTCCTCCTTTTAAACCTGCGTTCCTGATTAGGGAATCGTCTGCAGCTGTAGTTCCCTCTGCTCCCCACCTGCGGAGAATGAACTCAGGTTCTGGTGAGAGGAGATGATGGAACTCACCTCTGCTCAGGGACATGGCAGGAAGAGCCGCATGCGGCTCCAGAGCCACGGGTTGCCGACCCCTGACTGAAACGCAGCAGTAGAGCCCTGCGCGGGACTGTTTTCTTCATCCCGCTCCCGCTGAATTTCTGACAATTACCGCCTGCGACTGCAACGTGTGTGTTACACTCCCGCCCGCACCCGTAGCGTGCATGTCTACTCCCGCCCGCAACCGCAAAATTCGGAGAAATTATTACCTCACAATAAAAGAGATGTATTGAGTTTGCGTCCTCTCTGGTCCTGGAGAAAACATGTCATTTTATAGGCTATACCAGGGGTCGGCAACCCGCGGCTCTTCCATCCATCTGATGCGGCTCTCTGTGCTTGTAAAATAATGAATGGATATTTAAATAAAATACACGTCTTTTAACACATTGGTCAGGATTGACGCACTTTGTTTTCATTTAGTTGGTTAAAAAAAAGTCGGGCTCGGGTCGGGCCAGAGAATCCTGATAAACTTTTCGGACCAGGTCGGGCTGGGGCTCCACCCCCTCGGGCCGGGCCGGACACGAGCTCAGATTTTAGGCCCGTGCAGGGCTCTTTGACTGCACCATCAGAGCTGAACTTCACACGGGAGGATTTGGAGTCTTATTTCCGGCTATTTAGACATCTAGCCTTGGGTTGGGTAGAAGCAATGCAACTCTACCACTGACCCTGTTTTCTCTGGGACATGGATGTTTTATCTCCTCAAACAACAAGACTGAAGCAGCTTTAGCCATGTGTTTGAGTTGCCAGCGGTTAGCTTCTGTTGGAAGAGACATTCTCTGCTGATTCTGGAAGCTAAAACAACAACAGCCTTCCATGTTGTGAGTCAATATGGATAAGTCAAATTCACAGTGTGACGTAGATCTGTCAGGCTTTTCAAATCCTAGAGTTTCACCGTCTATTTTCTATCAGAAGCTAATGCAGGAGGTAGGTGTAGGAGACTGCTTTCATGTTCCGCCTGTATTAAAAACTCAGCGTGACTGATTATAATCAGAAGTAATCATTTAAAATGTTTTTCAGTCAACTACACCTTTAAGATAATTATCTAAAAACAACTGTCTTGAGAATTACTTTTTGCAGTGTAGACTAAAGAAGGAGATAAAACAATGAAAACTTAACCTAACAAATCATCTAAAAATAAATATTTTTGCTCAAAGAAATGGGGAAAAAACTGAAAGGATCATTGGAAAGAAGACCTAAATAGCTGCTGCTGCTGCTAAAAATATTTCATCTAAGTAGCCTAAGTACTCCTGCCCTTGATGTCTATCACATTTACAACACTGCACACATTCTGCTCTGCAAGTCGACTTCTTTTTAAATCTGAGTAAAATCTAATTAACTGAGTTGGATTTTGCTGATCTTTAACAGTTTTCACCTGATGTCTTTTAGGACTCTCTTCATTCCCTCATGGCCACATTGAGTGCCTCCAACCCTTTTTTTGTGCGCTGCATCAAACCAAACATGGACAAGGTAAGTCATGCAAATTTAATTGCATGAAGAAAAAAAGGGTCTGAACTCTTGCCAGGTCTTGTCAAGGTCACGTGAGAAATTAAGCCTCCTTGGTGCTAATTATAGCTCCCATTACTCAGAGATAATTGTGTTTCTCTTCTCATACGACTCCAACTACTAAGTAAAGTTTAATAATCCACAAGTAAATATAGATTTTTCTTTATTTAAAACTGTAGATTGTTAATCCCCCCCCCCCCCCCCCCCCACACACACACACACACACTGGTGCAAAGACTCTCATGCATCCCCACATAAAAGAATTGCATGCAAACACATTCCTGCCACTGCAGCTTCGTTGCCAGAGGTCAGAGGTCGCTGCTGGCTGCTCCAGCTGCGGTGGACGCTCCGCTGATCAGGCTGCATCAGTGGAATGTCGAGATAAGACCGCAGTGTTTTATTTGTGGTGAAGTAAGTACGGCGTGTATTTACAGGGTCTCTGTTACATAGCTCCCATTGTCTTTGCCTCGCGTTTGCTTATCCTGAAGGTCAGGATGGAACGAGCAGCAGATCTGAATCCTTCAGTCCCACAGGAGGACGTGCGCCATTCTCCAACACGCATGCAAATTCACGCAGACCCACGAATGGACGGAGTGTGTTTGTGTCATTTACATGCGCCTGATTTTCTGGAAATTAATGCCACTCAGAAAAGTTTTCACCCAGAGGAATGTTCAGAGCTCAAATAGCTTTGCGTTTATTCACAAGCATGGGCACACACGAGAGCCCAGGTTTCCGTGCTTAGGAGCGTTAGTGTGTAATTAGAGCGACACATAGGAGAATGCCGCGGTGTTGTGTGAGGCTTGTCCAACTCTGTTCGCCCTCCATTTGACAAGCAGCCCTCATGTGGACCTGAGCGGCAGACATCACAGATCCCATCTGATAAGAACGCCCAAAGATTATCGGCAACAACGCAGCTGAGGATTCCAGGAATAAAAAAAACAAAGGCCGCCCAGGCTGCTGGTGTCTTGTCTAACACTGCTCAGGTTTCCCCCGGATGGTGTTTGTTTTTCCTTATAGTAACCCGATTGTTAATGTAAAATGATAGAGTCCTTTGTGGTAATTTACGTTTTTTTTTAGTTCAAGTTGACTCAGCAGTTTAGGTGAGTTTGAGTAGATGTGTCTGCCGTCTCATAACATCTGCTGACTGCAGCGATGGACATTATAATTCAGAGTAATCACTCTTGCGCTAAAATACCAGCTGTGCTCTTTTAATTCCCGCTCTCCTCAGAATAAAATGTTAATTTGTCACCAACAGAAGGCCACTCAGTTTGACCCCGATGTCGTCCTGAACCAGCTGAGATATTCCGGGATGCTGGAAACCGTAAAGATTCGCAAGGCCGGATTCCCAGTCCGCAGAACCTTTAAGGACTTCTTCAGCAGGTCAGGATATTCATATTGAAAGGGAACATATTATGCAAAACTCTCTGTTTGCATCCTTTTTGTGCTGCTATGTGGGTCTCTATTGCCTCTATAGATACTCCAAATGTAAATAAATACCCCTGTCCATCCATCTGGTTTTAGGGAACATGTCCCTAAAGCTGTTTTTATAGGACCGTAGCGTTTGCAAAACGGGATTTGCCGCGGCTCCCTGGGGAGGATTTTGGCATGTATAGTAGCAAAGCTGAAGCTAGAATAAACTGCCATCAGGCACCTCTCCAACCAAGATGGGATAAAGGGAGGTCGCTGCCCCCCCCCCCCCCCCCTGCATGTGACGTACAGGGTCGCGCATTCAGCGTCAAACGGAAGACACATCAGACTGATGAAATTTCTTTTTCAGGACCTTTAGCTTTGATGTGACCTGCTTTTTGTCCCGCTTGACGTCCCGCTCAGCCAGTGCTTTCACCACTCTGTCGAACAGCTGGCTGTCTCTCACCGTCCCCGTTAAAAGGCGACTAATCTGTTCGTCCGCTCGCACGGCCAAAAGCTCCATGGTCTCCGCGTCCGTCCAGTTTGCCATGTTGTAGGGTTGAAAGATACTAGTGAGAGGCCATGTTTATCTGTGTTTGTATCCCTCCCGGCCGGCACTCGGCGCGCAGTATACCCCACTAACGTGACCACCCTCTTTTGCGGGGGGGCCTCCCACAGTCGCTCCAAAGGGATTAGCGGGGCTGACACACGTTTATCCGTCAGAGGCGAGGGGCTCATGCAGCAATATTACCACGAGGCTAAGCGCATTAGAATCGAGTTTTATCACCTTTCCCCTTTGCTCCTTGCTGCATTTACGAGACCCACAAATTCGGATTTATCACTCTGGCATGATGCAATGGTCTGTCTTATAAAAGAGGCTTTAAAGAAGCTGTTTGAAAAAAAATTCCTGTTTGTGACATCACAAATGGGGAATTTAGCATAAAATCATCACTCACCTCTCTACTGGCTCTACTCCAAGTCCCTCCCACATGAGAGCTCATCAGCTTGTAGCAGCCAGTTAGGGAAGTGGTGGGCGTGGCCAACTCCAGCAGAATTTTTTAATGTGACAGAGCCCTGAAATGGCTCATTCTGGAAGGTACTGTCAAGAGTATACTACTGAAATTGCTTCATGTGAGAAGGATTTATGACACAGAACTTCATTAACATGTTTTGTATCAACCATTGAATTATTATAATTTATTTATTTTTATTCTATAACATGTCCCCTTTTAAGACAAAAATATGCTGCTACAATCTTTCTCCCTGGACCCTCGTGAGTCAAAAACAACCCTTGTCGTAAAAAATGAAAAATGTAGGTTTTTGCATAAGACTTGGTTTTATTGACTAATTTCTATGGTTTATCGTAGTTTTATTCAATATTTATACCTGTAGCTGGGATTTGTTCAAGAACAAGTTCAGTCATATTTGGATTTCTGATTTATCCTTAAGATTTTATTTCTTTTCCCAGTTTTTATTTGGAAAAACCCAAACTGTTGCCAAAAAATGCATAAAACGCCAGAAAAATGCACACCCGCATTGAATTAGCTGCTGTTCCTAAACTCTTTGGGAGTACTTGCAAATATGTTGTCACTTTGTAAAGCAGTCAAATTCACTGTAACTATTTGTTAGGGATTTTCTCAATCATCTAATACCTGCAGTCGAAGAGAAAAGAGAGACAATTAACCACATGTTTACAGTATTGCAATCGGGGCAGATCTGCTCACAAAATGAGACTCACGAAACTGCGCGGAGATGCTGCCCTGAGAGCTTTATTTATACAAGAGCAGAGAGATAGGACAGTCTGTGTGTGTGTGTGCGTGTGTGCGTGTGTGTGTGTGTGTGTGTGTGTGTGTGTGTGTGTGTGTGTGTGTGTGTGTGTGTGTGTGTGTGTGTGTGTGTGTGTGTGTGTGTGTGTGTGGGAGTGAGTAAGGAAGAAGTCACAGTGTCTGAGTTGTAAGGAAGTTACAAGATGAGCAAAAGTAACATATCTGGGGAATGAAAAATGTAATCATAATAATACAACATTACATTTCTATAACAATATTATATAGTTTAAAAGTTGGAATACATGAATCAATAGATTAGATTTAACCAGAGATGGGACATCAACACGTCAACCCCATGTTATGATTTTGTTCTGCTCAGCAACTGAACAAGGATCATTCACTGTGAAACCACCTGGTTTAGTTGCTGAACCGAAGAAAAACACAGCATGGAGATGACGTGTTGATGCCAAAATTCCCATCTCTGGATTCAACTACATCGGTTTACACTGTTGCATTTAGAGACATAGAGGTATGGACTGGAAAATAACATGGTGCCATAGAATTACATTAACAATTTCCAGTTTGGAGCCACTATGGCCAAATGAGTAAAGCATTGGTTGTTTGAATCCATTCTAGTAGGGGCCGAGGCATCCCTGGGCAAGATGTCCATCCCCACCCACTTAGCCCTAAAATAAATAAATAAATAAATAAACTTTAGGGGGGAAAAAACGTTTTCCAGTTCACATATGATGATAGCACAACAATTGTCTGCTTTGGACATAATAATAATAATAATAATAATGCATTGAACTTATATAGCACTTTTCTAGACACCCAAAGGCGCTTTCACACACTCTCACCTTCACACACTGCTAGTGATGGTAAGCTACTTGTAGCCACAGCCGCCCTGGGGAGGTCTGACAGAGGCGAGGCTGCCATTTGGCTCCGTCGGCCCCTCTGACCACCACTAACACAGCCAAGTTGGGTGAAGTGTCTTGCCCAAGGACACGACAGCAGGATACCCCTGGCGGGAGCTGGAATCGAACCCATGACCCTCCAATCATGAGGCAACCCGCTCTACCACCTGAGCTACTGCTGCCCCATGTTTTTTTTTTTTAGGTTGTCTCCAAATAAATGGGTTAAAACATCTGAGGTGGTTTCTCAAACGTCTTTGTGGCCAATTATCAAGACTGAGTGGTCATCTTAAAAATAAATAGGATTTTTTTTTAAAGAACCGTTAAAGTTAGTAAATGTGGTGTTTTTTTGTTCCTGCAGGTACAAAATGATCCTGAGAAATAAAATCCACTTGGACGATGAGAAGCATCGCTGCTCAGAACTTCTCTCAATGCATGACAAAACCAAGAAAGAGTGGCAGCTGGGGAAGACAAAGGTGCAACACACACACACACACACTTGACCAGACTTGTTTTTGTCACTTTGGAGTGACTTGGAGCAGAGTCATGTCCGGGGTACGTTGAGTAACTATAAACAATACCTCAGCCCAGCCCAAAGCCTTCAATCTTCATCCTATCCTTTCCTTCAGCTGAGAAATAAAGAATTTAACTAGAAGATTTCTCACACAAGAGCCGGGTGGACCTTGAGGAGGATAGGAACACAGCTGGATGAACTCTGGAATGAGATAAAATGTCAGCTTGTTTGGGTGTTTTAAAAAAGATTGGCCCCCAAGAACACGAAATCTTTGCTTTTCAGCTTTTTCGCCGTCCTTGCAGAGCTCCACTTACAGTACAATCACTGGTTTGGACAAGACGAGCTGCGGAACTCTCATAACCTTGAGCTTTTTGATCAAACATTTCCCACAAAGTCAGGCTGTTGTTGTTCTGCGCACCACGACTGCTGTGACTCACGTTCCAGGGATTTTTGTTTCTGTGGTGAAACTGCTGCTCTCTTATCGGTGTTCCCTAAAAACCTCCAGTACTGAAACCCAGTGCTCAGAGCTTTTAGAGTAATCCTGGTTGGAGCTGGGTTGTTGGCCCCCTGGACGCTCACTGGGCTGTTCATTAAACAAACTCCGCTCCCAGTGAGAGAAGTGGGGGCAGAGGACGGCGCAGACGAGCTGCAGCTGTGCAGAGGCTGCAGACGAGTCACGTCTTAAAAGGGCTTCAGTACAAATCAGCTGAATCCACGTCCGTGTTGAGGCTCCTGTGGGGCCGAGATCCTCAGGTTGCTGTGAACAATCTTACATGTATGTAACTGGTGGGTGACCGCTAAATGTGCACATGCCAGTGTGTGTTACATGCTGGGAGAAAATGTTTGACCTCCGGCCGACTCGTACAGTAAAAAGACAAAGGAGAGAAAGAGTATAGGTGTCCGAGGGTGTGTGTGTGTGTGTGTGTGTGTGTGTGTGTGTGTGTGTGTGTGTGTGTGTGTGTGTGTGTGTGTGTGTGTGTGTGTGTGTGTGTGTGTGTGTGTGTGTGTGTGTGTGTGTGTGTGCGTGTGCGTTTCTGATGGCAGCACATTATTTTTGGGGTTGGGGTAATGTCGTGTGGGTTGTGGGAACGAAAGAGGCCGGGACCCAGAAGGGGGCTCTGTTTCCTTTGGTGTGTAATTATATATGCACTGATTGTGTACAGGGGAAGTTGTGTGGCCAGAATGAAGGGGCCTGGGTGATGTTTTGTGCACTGTGTGTGTGTGTGTGCGTGCGTGTGTGTGTGTGTTCGTGCGTGTGTGGGCCATTTGTTTTACAGATGAGGGAAGGATGTGGACGGAGAGGAAGCTTCCTCCTCTTGCCGACTTTACAGTGGCAGGCAGAGCTGCAGCTGTGGGGTTCTTTGATTCTCTGGATTCTGGTGGATTCACTGGAACATCTGGGTCACACACACACACGTACACACACACACTTACCCTTTTAGGAGAGTTTTGGAGGTTGCCTTTCATAATCGGACAAGAACCAACTGTTTTGGGATGTTATTTCAGCTTTTGAGGATGTTTCAATCCTAGAAAGCATTTCAAGCTCTGAACAAAGTTTCCAGGAGAGAGGGAAGGGTTAACTCAACTCTTTTCTCTTTCCTTCATAAAAGCAAGAAGAGGTGTGGCTTTCTTTCTGGACGCCAGCCACACTCCCTCCCCCTCACATCCCTTCATCCCTCCTCTCCCTGCCTTCTCTCCTCCCCTGTTCTCTCGGAGCCTCTGTAGCTGAGCACGTCACAGCAGCAGAAGGCTCAGGAAGCACGCTCAGATGAGATGAGGCTCTGCAGGAGCAGCAGTTACGCTGCAGTCTCAGTCTCAGTTTTCTCATCTGTTCTGTTCAGCAGGCGGGGAGAGTAGCTAGCCTGCTAGCCTCCGCCGCTCCACAGCTTCCTCTGCAGAGGCTGCAGGGAGCTGGCAGCAGTAAAGAGGGGCCCTTATCATCTCTGTGGGCCCTTTTTATTGAATTATTTTTTTACTGCCTTACCAAGAGGAGGAACTAACTCATTCTGCTTGCACTCCCCTCCTCATACTTCCCCCATTTCCTCTCCCTCTCTCGCTTCTTGCTGGCTGTGGTACTGCCCGGCACGCAGGTGTTCCTGAAAGAGGCTTTGGAGCAAAGGCTGGAGAAGGAGAGGGAAGAGGTGCGGCGCAGGGCTGGCATGGTGATCCGCGCCCACATCCTCAGCTATGTGGCAAGGTGAGTGTGTGTGTGTGTGTGTGTGTGTGTGTGTGTGTGTGTGTGTGTGTGTGTGTGTGTGTGTGTGTGTGTGTGTGTGTGTGTGTGTGTGTGTGTGTGTGTGTGTGTGTGTGTGTGTGTGTGTGTGTGTGCGTGTGTGTGTGTGTGTGTGGAGGGGAGGGGGTGGGTGGCTGAGTGGCAGCGACAGTTGTCAGTGTTTGTTTTGTGGTGAAGGTGTGCAGCTTGTGTGTATCCCTCGGGGGGAGGATTATGTGCTCTCGTGCATGACTTTACAGATTTATCTTTTTGTTTGTGTGATGGTGGCGGTGGCGGTGGGGTGCTTTTACGACACACACTGCAGGCGTCTATCGTCTCCGAATCACTGGTTGTCACTATACTAACGACTAAATCATCTTTGATAGTAAATTTCTTCAGATGAATTTCATTTTTAAGATTTTTGGAGCAAAGTTATGAGATCTTAATGAGTTACAACACTCCTTTTTCACTATTCTGAGGAAGCACTTGACTGGGAAAACTTTTTTTTTATATCTAAAAAGTTTCTTTTGCACTTCCACACTCTAAAAAAGAACTGTTGAACTTACTTAAAGTCATGTCCACTGGTTAAAGCTTCTATGGCAAATCTGCAAAACAAGCTAGCTTAAAACATTTTTCACGCCTCAACATTGTTCTAACATAGTTGACATGGCTATAAATATTTTGTGGAGATAAAAAATTAATATAGAACATTTTGTGGTTTTGTCATATTTGTCTACAAATCTCAGCTAATAACATGACTCTGAACCAACGATTGGACCATCCGGTTGTTGCTCTCACAAAACCACCTCCCTTCTGCATTTACCTGGGTCCTCCATTCATTACGCACTCGCATATTTAGCGACAGAACACCACTGGTGTAAGGAGGAGAAACAGCCGGCTGCTACCACTTCAACTTTATGTCACGTTGTAAGCCAGGAGGAGAATAGGACCCAAGATGCAGAACCAGGGAGACACGAGGCAAGAGTTGGAATAAATGTAAAAATCCTTTATTTAAGGAATAAATGTCCATGAAATCAAAAATATTTGAAGCACAAAAAACCTAGTAGCAAAAATCCTAGCGACCAAGAGGGGGAACGAGAACAACGCTGACACAACAATGGACCGACAAACACAGAAAGGCAGGACGGGGATTTATACTCAGGGCTTGGGTGATTAGGAGGATTGGGCACAGGTGATATTAATAACCAAGAGGAGGAGCAGAACAGGCCAGGTGAGGAAAGCCACCGTCGTCTTCCTCCGCTTATCCGGGTCCGGGTCGCTGAGGCAGCATCCCAACTAGGGAGCTCCAGACCGTCCTCTCCCCAGCCACCTCCATCAGTTCCTCCGGCAGGTGAGGAAAGCCCCGACTAAAACCTGTTAAACAAAGCTACTGAACTAAATAACTTAAAACACCGTAGAAATAAGACACTGGAGAGCTAAAGATAATAAAACTAATGACCTAGGAGTAATAGAACCAAAAACACTGGAAGACAGGGGAGGATGATGCCTAAAGGGAGAAACGAACTAGACAATCTACAATAACAGAAAACTAATGATAAGAAAAGTGACTGAGGGAAACCTGGAGAGAACCTGGAGGGGGCTCGGACAACAAAATACATTTTGACGTAGAAAACAGCGATCTCTTGTTCATGATGGTAATTTGCGTTCCCATATCGGGGGGGCTTCCAGATCATAGCCGACAGGAGGGAGGAGGAGAGTTCCATGACCATGTAAAGCTAGCTTGTTTGGCAAATTTGCCATTTCAGCTTTAAGTAAATTCACCCACAAGGAGCAAATAAAACTAATAATGGGTAAATGTTTATATTTATCAAAACCAGTTATCCTGTACTATCACTGTATGTGAAGACAATGAAACTACACAGTAAAAAATTAGATGTTGAATTCATTTAACCAAATTATAGTCCTTTTTAGAAGAAACACCATGCTGGCAAATCAGCGTAATACTGCCGTCTTATTAACGCGCCGTGGCAGCATGGCAGTGCAGACATTTCGCAACACTCTTTCCGCCAAGCTTGGTATTAATATTTTCGCGCCGCCGGACGTGTGAATGCACATTGTACCTCGGTGCAACAGAGGGACGTGTCATGATAACGTGGGGAGTTACTGCTGAGGATGCTAAGCTCCGGAAGCTTCTCTCCGTTGGAGCTGGAGCTCAGATCACCCGAGGCTGCACGGGGACTGTGGAGGACAGACACCTTTAGGAGTGGTTGTCAGAAAAGCCTAACAAGTGCGGCTTCGATCGCAATAATAAGCAAGTTATGTCCAAGATAAACGGAAGTCTGCGGCAGCACAGAGACCGCCCCCATACTTCTTTTATACTACCATCAGGGGCGGATTAAGGACTGAAGAACATCCGGGGCTTTACACACGCGCGCGCTCGCGCACACACGTGACACGCACTAGTCAACATCATATATATTTGTCTTGTACCACATAATTTTTAATCTGAAGCTACATATTAAGCATTTTCAGGGTAGAGTATTGTTCCTGTTAGTGTTTAGTGTGAGATGATATGAAATATTCCCTTTCTTTCTCCATCAACTTTACCTGATAGTAAGCTAACTTTAGGCAAACCAGCAGCACAACAAATATTTTCAAATAAGACTCACAAACCTGAGTCAGCACCAGTCTCATCAAAGCTGGGTTCTGTCGCTGTACTTTTGGTCTAAAAAACGTCCTTATGTCCATCTTTACATTTGTGTTTCAGGCAGAGACTGTAGAAGAAGCCGGCTGCTGAAGGGCTTCTTCTTCAGTGGTGGAGGCTCAGGCAGGCTGTATACAAACTACTGCCAGCTGCTCCCTCTCTGTTGGACTTTGGTACTGCATGTTACTTCCGCGATTTAGATCCGGGGCTTTCCTTGAAACATCCGGGGCTTCAGCCCAAGTAGCCGGGCCTAACGCCGCCCCTGACCGCCATCATGTAGTATTTTGTAAAAAGGACATGATTGTGCCACATTAACGCCACTTACAAACAACCTAAGGCTCCCTGATGGCGCCTCAGCGGTGCGGTAAATTTGCGGCATTGTTTTCTAAAAGAGGCTTTTGTGAACTAGTTCCACTAAACAGTTGCTTAAATGTAAAGAGTAATCTACATTCACTTAAGTATAACAATGTATTTTTCTTTAAGTTCAAGCAGTTAGGTTAGTGGAAGCAGTCAACATAACCCTAATCCTTTCTAGAGAATGCCAGATTTCACCATTAAGGCTCTAATTTGTTGCTCTCATCACTTTTTTCTCCCGTCTCTGCTTGCCAAACTCAACATTCATCATAGTTAAACATCTGCACAGGCAGATACCCATGGGCATTTGTTCTAGCTGTACTCCACCTGCATGCAGACACACATGCAGGCTACATACAGTCCTGTGAAAAGCTCGGTTGGAAGGCTATAATGGGACTGATGACAGCTTTCCGGTTGTGGGTTTCCTTCCCCTTGGAATTGTTCAGAACTTTGGGAAGTTCCCTACAGACACAAGTAAAGCTTTTGTGTTATTACATGTAACTGTATCTGTTCAGAAAGCAGACAAATTGGTGATTGCTGTGAAGGAAAAGCCAGAAGAGGGGTCAGGATAGAGTGTGTGTGTGTGGTCCGTGGAAGGTCAGGTCAGGTACGGTCCGTGTTTATGTGTCAGCAGCCTGACAAATATGTGTTTGACTTCCCGCCACCAGGAAACAATACAGACGAGTTCTGTCCAGCGTCGTCACCATCCAGAAGCACTACCGCGCTCACTTTTGGAGGAGGGCCTTCCTGCACCTGCGCTCGGCCGCCATCGTCCTGCAGAAGCACCTCAGAGGTCAGCTCGCCAGGTCCTTCCACCGCCAACTCCGGGAGGAGAAGCGGAAACGAGAGGAGGAGGAGAGGAAGAGGAGAGAGGAAGAGGAAAGGAGGCGATTAGAGGAGGAGGAGAGGAGGAGAATGGAGGAGAGGAAGCAACAGGAGGAGGAGGAGAGAAGGAAGAAGGAAGAGGAGGAGAAGCAGAGGCTGAAGGAAGAGGAGGAGCAGAGACTGGCAGCTATAGAGGAGAAAACCAGGTTAAATGTTGTGTTTTTGTTTAAATCAAACTTATTTTATGTTTTAAATTATTAATAAACCTTTTGTCTTCAGGAACTCTCTGGTGAACAGTGCTTGTCAAAAGGTAACTTCTTCATTTTCCGGCATCAGAGAGCATTTATGATGCAATTGTCTTAGTTTATGTTTGTCTGCCCAGCAGAAGCCGCTGACCCAAACCCCATCCTACAGCCACACCTCAGAAGAGGAGAACCGTCAAATGGAGGAGATCCTGCGTCTTGAGAGGGAGATCGAGCGCCTCCAGAAGCAGCAGGAGGATGGCGTGTCCCTCCTCGGCGATGTTTCCCATGAGGAGCTGCGCCAGATGAGGGACGCAGAGATCTACAGGCTGGAGAAAGAGGCTTCTCGTGTGGCCACTGAGTTCTTGGAGCTGTTGGACTTTGGTGGATTAGAGCCATCGCTGTCGAGCGAGGAGAACCTCCACGAGTCAAATGACAATACAGCTCCTCTAGCTGAGGAGGAGGTGGACGACGGTTTCCCCACAGAGGATGAGTGCGTTCCTTTACCTGACTTCCCTCCTCCTGCTGCAGTTCCTCTTGACAGGGAAGTTTTCAAAAGTGTTCCTCCTCCTCCACCTGCCTTTGCAGAAGGAGTAATGCTCTCCTCCTCCTCCATTGCATGCCCTGCACCAGCAGTTACCTCTAACGGACTGGATCACGCTCCAGCTCTAACAGACTTCCAAACCTCCCACCATCCTTCTCCTCCTCTACTAACTAACGGAGAGAGGGCATCGGATTTTGAGCCTGTAAAGGAAGCTCCATCACATTCAAACCTGCCAGATGCAGAGTCGGACTATGATCAGGAGGAGTTCGAGGAGGCTCATGGGAGCTCAGGGGCGAGCATTTTTGATGGCCACATCACAGACGAGGAGTTGCTGCGAGAATCATCCTGCACCCAAAACAGCCTGGACTCCTTCAGAGGCAGCTCAGACTCGGTGAGAGATGATCAAACATCATTGCTTGTGAATTATGCTGCAGAGTTGCACTCTTTAATTTTAAAGAGCAAGTTCACTGAGAAACCGTTTTTTTTTTTTACTTTGAAAATGGATCTCATGCACGCTAATTGGGAAAATAGTCTTCTACCCCTATTTCCTGCATTAGAAGAAGAAAATATTGTTTCTATAGCGCCTCTCAAGATAAAAATCACGAGGCGCTTCACAAAAACAAAAAATGTAAAAATATAAAAAAGCATTTAGAAAATGGTTAAAAATATATTCAAAATTTGCAAAAAAAAAATTGACAATTGTGATTAAAAAACAAAATGTTAAGAAAGAGAGAGAGTGAATAGGAAAGAGGGAAATCAGTGGATCCTGAGGAAGGTGGAATAGGTGGGGAGAGCAGAATAAAGAGAGAGTGGTGAAGAAGGTCATACAAAAGCCAGCTTGAACAAGTGAGTCTTCAGCTGTTTTTTAAAGGAGACCACTGAGTCCACTGATCTTAGGCTCAGGGGGAGAGAGTTCCAGAGTCTGGGGGCCACAGCAGCAAATGATCTGTCATTTGTCATCTGTCATTTTAGCCACTAGACGGCGAGAACACTCTGATTAGAAAAGCCTGACAATTGCGTGTTATAACGCCAAATTAGCATTTGTGGACTCATCTATCTTGGCTCACGACGGGGAAGGCTGTTGTTGATTTAGCATCCAGGAAAGAGCAGGGCGCTTCTCGGCTAGTAGAAGCTAACCGTTAGCAACGACAACATGTCAGAACTCCTTCAGGCTTTTGTTATTTGTGAAGATAAAACATCAACTTTGCAAAACAAACAGGCAGTGAAAGAGTTGCTCTTAAGCCACATTTATGCTTCTCCATCTGCGTCAGTGCGGAGACACGCAACACCATTATCCGTCCTTGCGTAGGGCTCCGGCAGGCACGCAAGTACGTACGGAGTCAAGCACACTTTTTTTAAACATACGTCGAACGAGACGGATTACGCGAGCTTGTGATTGGTCAGGAGGCCACTGTTGTTTACAGCACCGCCATTGCAAAGAGAGCCGAGGATAACTAGCGGCAGACACGGAGAAGCTTGAAGAATACCTCGCGAAAAAACTAAAAATATGAACGTTTCATTCTCCCGTGACTGGAGGAGTGAAAAGATGCGCAGCAAGCGTTTTATTTATGGACGGAAATGACAGGAAATGTGGGTTTAGAGGTGGGGAGCGCATGAAGAGGTGGGAGAATGAGAGACAAATATGTCCGTGTTAAAAGTCTCTTATATACACAAAAAACACAATATAAACTCACTATCTTGGACCGATACATGACAGGATACCACAGAACAGCGCTACGCCCTCTGTTGTCCTGCCGGGGAATTGCTTGGCTACACTCTCCAGGAGACGGAGAAGTATGAAAGCAAAACGCTTCCGTCAATCCGTGTGTGTCTGTCCCTCGCGGAGCTGACGGAGAAGCATGAACCAGGCTTAAGTCAATCAGATGGGAGATGCCAGAATATCATGAATATTAATGAGAAGATGCCAAATCCTGCCATTTTCTGCTCCCCACTCCTTCAGCTAACTTCTACTTCCTGAAACAAGAGCGCCAGAGCTTCACTTCCACAGAAAATGACTCATGAGGCATTCGTTTGTAGTAGAGACCACTGCTAATGTATTGAAAAAACAAGTGGACAACAGCTTTAAAATTCAAATGAGAAACTGCTTGGAGAAATATCTAATGTCGTCTGAAGGGACTTGGAGAAAAGGTCCTAAAATCGAATTAACTTGAACACAAGGTCACTGAAGGAGTTCTCATATCACCAGAAAAACAGTAAAAATGTGCTTAAAGTTTATTCTCTTGGCTCTGCTGATGAGCACATGCATCTGATCACAAATCCTGCAAGTCAAGCAGAAAGCTCAGACCTGTCAGATCAGCAAAATGTCAGAGGAGAAGAAAGATGCTGTTTGCAAACGAGCACATAAGCTAAAATGTTTAGTTTCAACAAAATTTAACCACTGCAACCACACATCTGTGCAGATGTTGCTCCAATAACCTGCTTTCTCTATTGCATCATAACCTTGTTTTATTTCAGTTCATTGACAGTGATGATGAAAACGACGGCTACGTGGACACAGATGAGGAGGTCTCTAACGGGAGAGTGAATCTGCTGAATGGCAGCGGGCCTCCATACTTCCATGGTTACCTCTACATGAAGAGTGAGTATTTTGAACCAAATCACAGCTCTGCAGGCATGCAGAGGATGAATGCACTAGACTACTGCTGCTGCAGATTATACAATAACTTTCACATTTTGTGCTTTTTAATCCAAAAGGTGCACACTTGTGTTATTCTGTTTTTCCATAACCCTTTTCCTGCTTGCACCGTTGCCCCTCTGTCAGGCGGCCTCATGATCCCATGGCGTCGTCGATGGTGCGTGCTCAAAGACGAGACATTCATGTGGTTCCGGGCCAAGCAGGACTCGCTCAAATCTGGATGGCTGTACAAAAAGGGAGGGGGAATGTCCACCTTGTCCCGCCGAAACTGGAAGATGCGCTGGTTTGTTCTGCGAGAGTCCAAACTCATGTACTTTGAGAATGACAGCGAGGAGAAACTGAGAGGAACGATTGATGTTCGAACAGCCAAGTAAGAAAATTCAAGTGTTTCGTCTCACTTATTTTGTCCTTTTTTTTTTAAATACAAGCAGAATAAAGTACATGATCTGATACTGGTGTTTCTGCAGGGAGATAGTGGACAACCATGTGAAGGAAAACGCTCTGAATATTGTAACTGAGGAGAGGACCTACCACATCTATGCAGAGTCCCCTGAAGATGCCAGGTAAATTATAAACACACCAACTCCAGCTCCCTCCCAAATCAGTTTTTTTTTTTTTTTTGCATCATCTAACTGTAAAACTAACATGTGGAAATTAAGTTCCCCCTTGTGGTCACTGGGGGAAGTTCAAGTTGTAATTTTCAATTACACGTTTGCTGACTTGTGCTTTCTCAACTCCCTCTGACCCGTTCAGCGGTTGGTTCAATGTGCTGAGTCGGGTCCACAGCGCCAGCCCGGAGCAGCTCATGGAGATGCACCACGAACAGGCCAACCCAAAGAATGCTGTGGTTAGTGCTGCTCTGCCTCTGCTGCTCCAGCTCATTGTTTTTCCACCAGTAGTAAAGAAATGTTCAGATTCTACTAAAGTGTGAAGGTCCAATTTTAGGAGCTCCTCTACCTGTACCCATCATTATTTTTCTGAATCTTCTAATTTTATTAACACACACAAACAACAAATCTGAGCAATTTGTCTTTTAAACGTCTGACATGTTCATTAATGCTTTGTTTTCTCTATCAAGGGCACACTAGATGTGGGATTGATTGATTCTGTTTGTGCATCGGACAACCCAGACAGGTGAGAAACATTGATAAAACCCAATCACTGTGTCATTGTTGAATATTTGTGCAGACAAACACTTTTCAACGTTTACTTTGACCAGACCAAACTCCTTTGTGATCATCACGGCCAACCGAGTGATCCACTGTAACACAGAAACACCTGAGGAGATGCACCACTGGATCGGCCTGCTGCAGAAATCTAAAGGAGATACAAGAGTTGATGGACAGGAATTCCTAGTTAGAGGTCACAATCTCAACTGCTGATTTATATAAATAACTAAAGTTTCCTATAAGGATTTGGAAGTTAATTGGCATTTTTTTGTAATCAGGCTGGTTGCACAAAGAAATGAAGTCTGGAGCCAAGAGCACGTCTCTGAAGCTGAAGAAGCGCTGGTTTGTTCTCACCCCAAACTCCCTCGACTATTACAAGTCATCTGAGCGCAACGCCACCAAACTGGGAACACTGGTCCTCAACAGTCTCTGCTCTGTGGTGCAGCCTGATGAGAAAATCTTCAAAGACACTGGTCAGTTGAACATCTTTTGCTCCAGATTGCTTTTAAAAATGCACCTAAAGGAGGCATCGCCTGGAGGACCAAAAGACAGAGGCACTTAGACAGTGATTGACTGCACCGCACCCCCCTCAACCCTATGCACACTCAGAGTTTTTCAGTTGTAGAAACGAGCCGTTAATAAATGCGTACACAAACGCACAGCAGACTCACTGCTCAGCAGAATGAGTAGAGAAACGGCAGCGGGTTGGAAGGTTTTCTGGTCACGTTGTTCACTAGAAGAAAGGGAGGACATTTTTTTAAGAAGGCAAGTGGCTCTGAGTTAATGGACAAGGAATGTTTGTTACATCTTCCTGCTCACACGCACCTAATTAAAACTGCTGAATTATCTCCCCAGCCTTCATCAGGTTCTACAGTGATTCATCAGTGATTATTTTTTAGTGTTGAAGCAGGGAAACATCTAAAACCAGAAGGAATCCAGTACTCATGATGCTAGCACATACATGCTAACGCTACAACAGGCTAAAACAATATTTGGACATAGTGTAAGGTTGAATGCTACGCAAATCACTTAAACACACAACAGATGAATCGCTTTTTTGTTTCCCTCCCTCCTCTTCTACGGTTTGCTTGGAATTTACATAACTGACATCAGTTCAATGCAGGTGGAGTTAGCATTCAAGCTAGGTCGGTGTGCTAAGTTGACTGCATCTCCTCGAAGTGGATACTGGGAACTGGGGCACATTCTAGTTGATTGACAGCGTTAATTATGAAAGATAACTTACTTTATATCATTAACCAGGGTCGGATAGTTACATTTAAGAAATTTAAACTGCGTAGGCTATCCCAGATCAAACACTCATCAATGCATTTTTTTACTAGTTAATTTGATGTGATCAGATGTCTGACTTATGCTTTTCCTTTTCACGCAGGCTACTGGAATATAGTGGTGTATGGGCGTAAACACTCTTATCGGCTTTACACTAAGCTGCTGAACGAAGCCATGCGGTGGGCGAATGCCATACAAGGAGTCATAGACAACAAAGTCCCCATCGAAACACCAACTCAGCAGCTCATCAGGGACATCAAGGTATTAAAGCTTCCTGGTAGTATCTCTTGTCACAGCTCACTAATGGTTCATGCAGCATACATCCTGTAAGATTTTATTGTAAATGTTTTAATCAACACAAGGGACTGAATGGAACAGTAACCTAAACTCTTTTTAGTCATGCAAACCTTTGGCAGGAACCCACACTGTTGTGAAGTGAGGTACCAAAACTGTGTGCTGTGTTCTTTGTTCAGTTTGGATTTTCAAAATAAAACCTCTTTGTTTCTGTTTTTTTAATGCCGTAATAATTTCTGGTTTGCTACATCCTTGCTGACATACAAATATTCTTTTTTATAAGAAACTAAATACAGATTTCTTAAAAAACATGAGTTCAAGATGCTTAATGGGCTTTCTGTGTGTGCAGGAGAGCAGTCTCAATGTGGAGGCTGTGGAACAGACGTACTGGAGGAACCCCATCCTGCGATATACACAGCATCCTTTGCACTCCCCCCTTCTACCTCTGCCTTATGGAGATGTCAGCGTCCACTGTGAGTTCCTTGGCCTGCAGCCACTGATTGCACACTACAGCTAGTCACACGTTTTCCCACTAAAATATGCAGAATATGATGTTGGAGTTATATTTATAACTGATGCATTCTATTTTTTTGAATTTTCTCTACATTTTCTCCTATGTTAGCTTCTGATAGAAAGTAGATAGTGAAACTCAAGGACATTCGCTCACCCATCTCGACTTGCAGTGGGGAGGGCTGTTGTTGGCTAGTGGCTAACCGTTAGCATTAGCAACTCCACCACTCAGCAGAACTCCTTCAGGCTTGTGTTATTTGTGGAGAACATTGAAAAGCAAACAAAGTCAGTGGTAGAGTCACGCTGCTGTTAGCCAATCAGAGGTGAGATGTCAGAATATCAGGAAATATGAGCCTAAATCCTGTCATCTGAAGCTACTTTCTCTTCCAGCTAACTTCTATATCCTCAAACCGGTGCACCTGTGCTTTTTTCCCCCAGAGAACGAATTACAAGGCATTCATTCCTAATAGAGCCCACTGCAAATGCATTAAACAAATTAGTAAAGTTGACCTTTATAAATAATTCAGCCAATTTTTGCACACAAATGCACAAAATCATAAACTGAAATTCAAATGCAGCACTCTCCATCTCTCTCAGTGCAAAAGGAAAAGGGTTACACCAGCCTGCAAGATGAGGCCGTGAAGATTTTTAACTCGCTGCAGGAGATGGAGGCTGTGTCTGACCCCATCCCGATCATCCAGGGAATCCTGCAGACCTGCCAAGACTTGAGGCCATTGAGAGATGAGGTTTACTGTCAGCTAATCAAACAAACCAACCACGTCCCGCACCCCAACAGCCCTGCCAATCGCGCCCACTGGCATCTCCTGACCTGCATGAGCTGCACCTTCCTCCCCAGTCGAGGAATCCTGCGCTACCTCAAATTTCACCTGAAAAGGTAAGAATTTGTTTGGATTCTGCAGAATTTGTGATAAAACATAAACATTTGGTTTAGCTAGTGTCTTTTTTTTATTTATTTATTTTGTTTGTTGTGTTTCTTCAGGATTAAGGAACTTTACCCAGGAACAGAGATTGAAATGTTTGCTCATTTCATCGGGGAGTCCCTTAAGAAGACAAAGACGAGAGAGTTTGTTCCATCTCAGGAGGAAATCATGGCACTGCTTTCCAGACAGGAAATGACCACCACAGTCTACTGCCATGGAGGAGGCTCCTGTAAGATCTCCATCAACTCTCACACGTCTGCTGGAGAGGTAAGCAGTGGACTTTGGGAGGAAGAAGCTGCACCCATCCATTTTAAACACCATTTTGGGTTTTTTCTGCGATCAGGTTGTGGAGAAGCTGATCAGAGGTCTGGCCATGGAGGACAGCAGGAACATGTTTGCTCTTTTCGAGCACAACAACGCTGTGGACAAAGCTGTGGAGAGCAGGGTCCTTGTGGCAGATGTTTTGGCTAAATTTGAGAGGTATTTGTGTTTCCAAATTCTCAGTTTGGACATGAATCGGGATTAAATTAAACAGATGTGTGATGGACCGATGAATGGATTCACCCTCCTCCCGTTTACAGACTGGCCGGCAGTGAGGAAGCCCGGGGTGACGGCCAGTGGAAGCTGTATTTCAAGCTCTACTGTTTCTTGGATGTGGAGAGCATGCCCAAGGAAGGAGTCGAGTTTGCGTTCATGTTTGAGCAGGTGTGTAAAATTTATAATTCACTAAGTGCAGAATCAGGTAGCATCACAGATTTAATGGCTTCTTTTCTCCCTAGGCTCATGAGAGCTTGACTCGCGGTCACTTCCCTGCCCGTGAGGAGACCCTTCAGCACCTTGCAGCTCTGCGCCTGCAGTTCCTGTTTGGGGACAAAGCACGGGTTACGTGGAGCCTGGAGAATGTCTACCCCGTAGGACGCTTGCACAGTCGCATCCTCCAGTTTACAAAAGCAGGCGGGGCCTCGGGCTCAGGCCAAACCCTGGAGCGCCGGAGGACCAGCTTCCTGGACAACACCCTGCGCCGGGGGCTGAAGACAGGCTCCATGAAGAAGCAGCGCCTGGAGGAGGAGCAGATGCTGGAGATGTGGATAAAAGAGGAGATGTCAGCCACCAGGACCAGCATTGTGGAGAAGTGGTCTCACCTCAATGGTCTGGACCAGCACCAGGCCATGCTCAAGTACATGACCGTCATCAAGGAGTGGCAGGGATATGGATCCACTCTGTTTGACGTTGAGGTACGCATCTTAGCTTGAGATTGTAGCTTCATAAGGGACATTTATTGAGATGTTTGTTTTCTGAGGCTGTGGCATACATTTTGAACTGAACCAAACAAACTTCCAGCTCATTCCAGAGAGTCTCCTGTTTGTGCCTTTGCAGTGTAACGAGGGAGGATTCCCGCACGACCTGTGGTTGAGTGTGAGCGCGGAGAACGTGTCCGTCTACAAGCGAGGAGAGCCAAAACCTCTGGAGACCTTCCCGTACGAGCACATCGTCTTCTTCGGTGCCCCGCAGCCCTGCACTTACAAAATCACAGTGGATGAGAGAGAAATGTTCTTCGACACACCAGAGGTACATTTGTGTCCAGGATTGTGTGTGTGTTGCAATGCATTGGTAGAGAAATATGCAAAAACAAATCAACAAAATAAAATACTGATTTTTCTTCACGCTTCCAGGTCGGCGAGATCACAAAGATCATGAAAGCGTACATAAACATGATTGTGAAGAAGCGCTGCAGTGTCAAGTCCGTGTCCAGCTACGGAACCAACTGGATCAGGTGATTTATGGGAGACGACCCTTTGAAGAGAGACGACAAGAGGAGCAAGAGACTCTAGAAATATGTTTTTTTTTTTAAATTGTTTCGGACTCGTGGGAAAGTTCTTCAGTCTGGATCTCCTGAGTGTTGCTTCTTTCCTTTGCTGTCTCTGAATCCCTGCTCTAGTGGGTTACACTGGTCCTTTCGCGTTTCTGAAGAAGAAAACAGTTCAGGTAAGATTAAAAGTTCTCTCACCACTAGTTGAAACACATCCTCTGAAAGATTTACGTCTAGGAACGTGCTGCAGCGACGCAGGCACGCTCACTAAATTAGCACCTTTATTGAATGTTGTCCTTTCCCGTGTTGGTTATTGTTGCAGCCCGTTGAAATGAATGTTCTCCTTAATGGGGATTCCCTCAGGGTTCTGCATAAAGACGAACTCCCTCTTCTTGCCTTATAGCTACTTACAGAGCAGATGTGGCCTTGCAGAAGCAGGATGTAATCAGGCGCGTCACTGAAGCACATCTCTAAAATAAAACCTTCCTTACACACAAAACTTCACATTACTCTAACTTCTAGTTGGATTATGTGTGCTTCTGTCCCGGATTACGTACATGCATGAGCTGAATGTAAATCTAAAATAGCCAAACCCTTTTTTTATATTGAATTTGTGTATTTTAGTGATGTCAGCAGCCATGTGAGGGTGGGGTATTTATTTATGAAACACCTCAATGGAGTTGAGACAATACTTTGGTTTTCACCTGTTTGTCCTTTTTTTAAGGACACAAACATTTAAGATGGACGCGCTATCTTTAGCTGTTGTAATTATTTCTAACTGTATGCTGTAGCTGGGCTTCTGTGACTGTTAAAAACAACTGAAGTGTGTGTTTGCTCATGTTTTCCAACCCCATGCCACATTAAAGTTCCGTCTTCCATCACTCCCAGTTAGGTGCTCTGGTCGGCTGCCGGCGGCCACACCAGAGACTGATATCACCACTGACAACGACTGTACTTCTGAGGTTTCTGACTGTTTTGAAGAAGAAAAATCAGAAAATGTTTTATATCGGAATATTAAAATAAGCTTTAATAAATTATTGTATTTCAAAAACATGTTTGTTGTGGTCTCGTCTGTTTTATGGCTTCTAGCGGACAAGATGGTGGTAAGACAGTGTGTCTTTTTTATTATAATAGGAAAATGTTATTGTCTGTAACACCCTCAGGAAAATATGTGAGTGTACTAGTGATACTTTTTGTTTATTTGGAAGGATTCTGGTTTATTTGTGTATTTTGACACTTTTTATATCACACTGCACCTTAAACGCTGTCGTGATCAGGTACGCAAAAAGAAAGTTCAAAGAAAAGTACCAAACTGCCGCATGTTTTGAAGATAGCTCATAGATTATGCTGAGAAAATGAGTTAATGAGTCCCAACACCTGCTGACATGGAGCCAAAGCACGTCACAGTAAGAAAAATGATTGCACGTCTGACCAAAAGAACCTGTCAGGGATCGTTGGAAAAGGGGAGGTTTAATTTAATTAATGGTACAAAATGCCCTGATGTTTACTCTTATTTATTTTTATTGTTTTTTTAAATTATCTGTTCTAAAATATTATCTTACTACAAATATGGTTCAAGTCCAGCTTCAGATTTCAACTCTTCATAAACACCATGAGTCATTCTACGGAAGCTGCTGTAGAAGATCACATTTTTATCCTAAAAAAAAACACTTTCATTTTTGTTTTCTAGTTCTTACAATTTTTTTCCTGAAAACTTGCATTAATTCTGGTATTTTTAATAAAGGAATCCAAAAATGATTAACTTTATTTATTTTTCATTCTGACATCTCACTCTGTAATACCTGCCGCCCACACAAAATACAGTTAGAACAATATAACATTATGACATGATTATTCTATTATTTAACAATATATTGTATGTAATATATTATGCCACCAGGCACCTGTGGGACCCCCCCCCCCCCCCCCCCCCCCCACACACACACACACACTTTTTCCAAAAGTCATACCATAAGGATAAGGAGGCTAAAATATTCTCTTCGAAATGGCTAAAAAAGAACAAAAGTGTAGTACCAGCTTTTGGACACTGGAGGGCAGCAACTCCCCATCTCCCCTTTTCTAAATGCTGTTGGAAACTAGCGTGTTGTTCATTTTTCTGCCAGCAGAGGATGCAAACTCCATTATTTCAAGGCAACAAAGCAGAGTTTGGATGAATTTAGTGGAAGCGTTTCAACTAACTCTTTTAAATTCATACATCGAGTTCCTTCTTCTCCTCCTTAATATTTAGAGGAAATGCTTGAGAAGTTTCTCAGAGGCATTTTTTCATGTCACAACGAGGAATCTGATATGAAACGAAGCAGATAATCAAGAGTCATGTTATAACGTTGGTCAAAAGCAATTTTCCCAGTAAACAAACGGGTTCATGAATGCATATGTAAGAAAAATGTCTTGATGTGCTGAGAGGTCAAATTCGCACCTGTACTGCTTACTGGATCACTGGTTAGGACAACAACATGATCAGGTTATAAAGTGAATTGCTCTAAATGTATCTTGCTTAGGTGGCAGCTCCAGGCTTCCGTACTGTAACACTCATTAGCAGCTCATTCAAACTGTGCTAATGTAAAAATATTGTTGTATTATTAGCTGAAAACTTAAATTGAATTGATTCAAAGATTTCAACACAACTGGTGAGGAAAGTTTGAAATTCTGCTGCATGTTACGATTGTTGAATCACTAAATGCAAAATAATTCCTGGAAATTCTAGATTTTAGATTTTCTTTTGTTTGTTTTATTTAAAATATGCAAAGTAGCTAACTTTAAAAATTGGTTAAACATATTAAACTTATTAAAGTCAATACGTTTGGGCATAATTCAATCGGAGCGATCTCTGTTAGTTTACTTTTCTTTTTTACAACACAAAGCTTTATTTTTGGTCAGGAGTGCTCCAGCTGTTTGGTGACAGTAGCGTCGGGTTGGTGACGTCAGACGTCGTAAACCAGAGCTCCTCCAGCGTTCACTTTTGACTCTTCTGCACACTTTTCTCCGTGGCTTTTCTCTTCTGCCACCATGTTGGGAGTTTATACATCTCCACTTTGTGCTCTCTTACTTTTCTGCGTTGTTTTCACAGCAGCAGACGAAGCGACTCCGTCTCCAGCTCCGGGTGAGTGTTTTCTTTGTGACTTTTGTTTTTGTGCGGACAGAGCCCTGGTCAGGAGGTTGTCACATGACATCAGCAAAGTGGACTTATAGGAAGAAAAGAGTCATTGTCACGTTAATTTTCCACTAGAAATTGTTATTATTATTATTATTATTATTATTATTATTATTATTATTATTATTATCTTGAGTGTACATTTCTTCCTTGTTTTAGCTCCCTGCACCCAGAGATCCAACACTAGTTGTGCTGAATGTCTGCAGAATGTGGCTGTAAGTTTCTCTCCGATCAAACAAACTTGTGTGTTTTGTCTCCATCCAAAGTCAAAGAGGTTGTTGCTTTTTATGCGCTGCAGTGTTTGTGGTGTTCCTCGACCCAACAATGCTTGGACTACCCAGTGAAGAACATCCTTCCCCCTAACAGTGTTTGCCCCCTAAATGGTGCACGGTGGGGGGTATGTTGGGGTAAGGCTGGCCAGTTTCCTAGTGAATATGGTGATGGTTAGGGTTATCAATAAATCTGAGGATAAATTGTGTGTTTGAGATGAGAAATTTTAGCATTTTTTGTTCTATTTTGCAAAAAAAAAAAATATTTTGTTACAGATTTTTAGAAGATTTAAACTGTGCAATTGTTTAAGCACTTTCTAATGATTCATTTGTTATTCATTTTGCATGATTTCAACAGAATTTTGTCCATCCTTGTGCTCATTTGTTCATCGGATTGCGTTTTATTTAAAGGTAGCTAATTATAGTGAAACTTCCCTTTCTGAAATACAGTAAACTTCCAGATTTTGATCATCACTATGTCAGTGCTGGCCGGCATCATCATCATCACCGTGGTTGTTTGCTGCCTGTGCTGCTGCTGCAAGTGTGAGAGGATTGGGTAAGCTGTGAGTCACATGAAATACTGGCTTCAGGGGAAGTGTGTGCGTGGGATGGGACACACACAATGGGTTGTTATTCTGTAAAACCAGGCTGATACCGCCTATCTCCAAAACACCGCCAGAACTGAGATCTGACAAGAACTTTCTTTGCCAGCTGTACGCCCTGTCACAAAAGTAGTGATGGTCACTGATTTCTTTTAAGCTTCGGCTTTGTGAACAGATAAAAATATTGAAAATGGAATTTTTAAAAAGCCTCAGTTAGCCTTTTTATTGTGAATCATCATGATGTTTACAAAAATCTTCTGAGTCTTGAAACATGGAAATATATATTATTCCTGTGTCAATGGCTTCAAAAAGATAGTCAATCAAACTTATAAAAACATAAACATGAGCTCTCAGTTTAAAGTGACTATATGTGTATTTTTCCTGGTGATAGAGGGCAGTATATACATAAATCGCTGCTAGCAAGCAGTATTTTTGTGTTGGAGTAAGACCTTACCAATGGATGCCCATTAGGGTCATAAAGTCCTGGGGAGTGCAAACTTTAGCAAAAAACCAGCACATCAGCCTTTCTTTCATCACTGGCAACAAGTGAAGAGGTTAATGTGTAAAACAACATTTAAGAATGATGAAAGTTTTGTAACCATTTGTTACAAATCAGCAAATGCAGTTTGTCCTCATGAGCTCCCGTAGAAGGAAACTTGACATCTGAAATGGCGTCGCCCAGAGACTTAGATCCGCTCCCGTGTATTTTAGACCTGATTTTTATGGTTATGTGTTATGAAGCCACCAATATTTTTCAACAACTGGGCATCATTTCATTCATTTTCAACAACATTTTGATGAATAATGGTAAAAACCACATATTGTCTTTTTAATTACATTGCTTTCCTAAATCTGATTGTGGATTATAGTGATTATCTTGACCTTAAAGGTACAATATGTAAGATTTTTACATTGCCATAATAACAAAACAGTCTAATTTCTCAATCATGTTTTGAAGGAATGTTACATTCAAACAGATTTCCTTCTCAGTCGGCTGTGTGGAGGCCAGGTTTTCTCCTTTTTAAAGGTGGAAAAGGGACATAGTCATTGGGTGTTTCTCAATGTCAGGGTGCCTGGCCTAGCGATCTCTTGACATTAGCCCCCTTCAGACAGGCCATGAAAAACGGAAATATTCCGGACTCTGTCCGTAAGACCTTTGTGTCTGAATACAAACATCCGGATAACGTGTTCTGGAATTTTACCGGACGAAGCCCTAGTAACAGGTCTGGACATGTTACGGACAGGGTGGCTGCTTCAGACTGGTGAGGTACAGTTCCGGACAGGGGGGGGGGGGGGGGGGGGGGGGACATCTGGAACTTTCCCTGCTGTGTGAACGCAGCCGAAAGGACAAGTTCCGGTACAAAAGTGTGTCTGAAAACACAGTTCTGGTTAAAAACCGGATTGAATTGTCCGCAAATGTTCCAGAATGTCTGTCTGAAAAGGGCTATTGGGAAACACCCATTGTTCACAATCTGTCCCGCCTCCATACTTCCTGGTTGCAGAGCCAATCATATCTGAGCCCACCGGGTTGCCAAGTCAGTGCTGGCAAACACTGCTGTGCTGGCATTTGTAATTCGATACCAGCTGGAAAAGAGCAACAGTGTTGTGGGGAAAAAATGGCATCCAGTAACAGAAGCAACCCAGAAGTTATTTCTTGTACCCCTACGAAGCCACAGCTTCTTTTGGTTTTCCTCTTATAACAGGTGAAGGCGGCTAGAAGCTAACATTGAGCTAACAATGCTAACAGTAAAATAGCAATATATAGTCGGCTCTAAAAATATCTATTATTATACTTTTTTCAATTACGAACAACTCAGTATTGCTGTATGATGTATTTATTTCATAGCTTTCCATCTAGAATTTTATGGTTCTGATCCATAACTGGCAACAGTTTTTCAGAGTGGTTCATTTTCATGCATGAACTGTAGTACTCAAGTGTGACCACTGGATGTCATTCTTACTTCTTGCGCCATTAATTTAGCAAAAATAGAAAAATAATTACATATTCTAAAAAAAATACTGAAAGTGAGAATTACCCCATGGAATCAGAGGTTAAAGGATTGATGTTATCGATCCATCTTTGTTATATTTATATACTCCAGAAGTTTTATTCCCTCACTTAAAGGGATACTGTGGAACTTTTTCATATTTTTAAATCATATTCTTGAGCCACTAAGTGCTAAAATGATCCTTTACAGGGTCAGTGAAAATCCGTCAGACCCCACCACCCTCTGTCTCCAGAATATCGCACATGCCACTTCAGAGTTGCCTGTCCGGTCCCAGTTGGACTTAATCAATGAATCAAAGCTTTATTTATAGAGCGGCTTCCACGACCCTGTCAGGAAGCCCAAGACGCTGAACATGGTATATGAGAAAAGTTAAATATGATGAATAAATCGAAAATAAAAGCAATTCAAATATTACCAAAAAAAAGGTAAAACATTCTAAAAGACAAATGGGTAAAACAAGGGATAAAGAGACCAATGAAAACAGGGAAATAAAATCAACATAAAAGAGGGCCAAATTCAAACACGTTCAGGGAACGCCAAGTGGAGGAGGTGGGTTTTTAGGCGACTCTTAAAGACAGGCAGAGATGGTGACAGCCTAACTGAGGGTAGCAAATGGTTCCAGAGTGACGGTGCTAGGACTGAGAAAGCCCGGTCCCCGCGAGTACGGCACTTTGAACGAGAGACAGCGAGCAGGCCTTGGTCAGAGGAGCGCAGAGCGCGTGATGGGGAATGTCTGTTCAGGAGTGTGGCTAGATGGGTGGAGCACCACCCTGGAAGAAATTGTTAACAAAGATGAGGAGTTTGAAGTGTGAACGATAACAGACCGGAAGCCAGTGCAGGGAGGCCAGAACCGGACTGATGTGGTCCCGTTTCCTGGTCCCAGTCAGGAACCTGGCTGCGCTGTTCTGCACAACCTGTAGGTGACGCAGTGATGACTGACACAACCCTGCATATTGAGAGCTGCAGTAATCAAGCCTAGAAATTACAAAAGCATGGAGTACCCGCTCCAGGTGGGCTCTTGACAGCATAGGCTTGATTTTTGCAAGGTGTCTCAGGTGAAAGAAACTGGACCGGATCACAGAGTTGATGTGAGCATCAAATTTAAGTCCAGCATCAATTTTCACCCCCAGACTGGTGACAACTGGTTTTGAGTAGGGAGAAAGAGGGCCAAGATCAACGTAACGACCCACAGCCCTGCTATTGAAAAACAATGAGCTCTGTCTTTCCCTCATTCAGATGCAGAAAGTTGGCCATTAACCAAGACTTTACCTCGTTAACACAGGACACAAAGGACTGGATAGAGAGACCTTTCTCCTGACACAAGGGAGAGTAAATCTGGCAATTGTCAACATAGAGATGGAACGCTAGGACATGTTTACGAAAGAATGACCCCAGAGGAAGCAGATAAATTATAAACAAAAGAGGACCAAGGATTGATCCCTGCGGGACCCCCCAGCGGAGCAGAAGAAAAAACCACCTAGTTTAACGCAGAATGTCCTGTTTTGGAGATATGATCTAAACCAAGCCAGAGCAGACCCTTTGGTCCCAACCCATCGTTCCAAGCGATCAAGTAGAATCGCATGGTCAACCGTGTCAAAGGCTGCCGTCAGGTCTAACAACAGAAGCACCACAGATGTACTCTGATCTAGTGATAGATAGATATAATTTAAGACCCTCAGTAGAGCTGACCCTGTGCTATGGCCAGACCTGAACCCTGATTGGAAAACCTCAAACAGAGAGTCAGCTAAATGTGAGACCAGCTGCTGATAAACGACTTTCTCAAGCAGTTTTGATGTAAAAGGCAGGGTAGGGATAGGCCTGTAATTTTCTATCACAGAGACATCTGCACCAGGTTTCTTCAGGGTCGGCCGAACAACTGCTGCTTTCATAGAAGCTGGGACCACACCTGTGCTGAGGCTCCCGTTGATAATCTGACCAAGTGATGGGCCAAGACACGGAAAGGCAGCCTTCCAGAGACGAGGTGGCAGAATGTCAAGTGGAGAGCCAGATGGCTTCTGCCTCGCAACAAGCTTACTCAGCTCAGAATAAGAAATAGTATTGAGGGAGCTGTGGGGGGTGGTGATGGAGGAACTGGAACAGGGTCAATAGAGTTACCAGAAATAGCTGCTCTAATGCCCGATACTTTATGGACAAAGAATTTGTGAAAATCTTCAGAGTTTCCAGCAGCTGTAGGAGACATGGAGCTAGGCTAATGATACACCAGAACAGAGTTCAGTGTTTTGTAGAGAATCTTGGGATTATTGGAGTTTGTTTCAATGATGTCTGCAAAATAGGCAGTTCTAGCAGCCCTCACAGCATCCTGATAAGCAACCAGAGATGCTCTGAACAACTCACGCGAGACCTGTAGGCCATCCTTTTTCCACTTTCTCTCAGAGGATCTACACGCCCGCCTGCAAGCCCGTGTGACATCAGAGAGCCATGGCTCCCTCCTAGGCCTAGACTTGCAAAGCTTGAAGGGGGCAACCACATCCAGGACCTGATTACAAAGTAAATCAAAGTGCTGTGAATAGTGATCAATGTTAGATGGATCAGGGTTAAAGGTCTCTAACCTTACAGACAAACAGTCCACAAACTTTGCGACAGTTTCTGCATCCAGGGCTCTGAACCTAGTAGCTGGAGCTTCACACACAGGGACAGGACATGGCAGGGCAACATCACAGAGTATTGGAGAGTGGTCAGAGAACACAGGAGGCAAAGTCACAAGGTTCATGACAGGGAGACCAAAAGAGAGAACCAGGTCCAGGGTGTGACCCCTGGCATGATTTGGGGGTGATACCCATTGAGTTAAATTGAATGGATCTAGCAAATTCAAAAAACCTTTAGAAAGCGCATTGTCAGGACAGCAGATATGGATGTTAAAATCACCAAAAAATAGGATGCAGTCTGCCACAAGATCACAGAAATCATTAAGGAAGTTAGAGTCAGTCTTTGGAGGGCGATAAATTAGCACAACGAGCAGGCGGGGGGAGATGCACAGTTCAAATAGGCACAGTTCAAAAGAAGAAAATGACATAGTGGGTGGGTTGATTGAAAAATACAAACTTACATTAAGGATATGGTTCCCCTTTTGCTTTGACTAATGGACATTAGAGGGTGCTAAAAGCAAGCCAAACTGCAAAGTCTATTCAACCCAAGTTTGACATACTGTGAATGTAAATGTGTTTTTATTTTGTAGAAACAAGAGAGAAGATGCTCAAATGGAGAGACAAACCCGAGCGAGGAAGGCCCGTCAGAAAGCGAGGTGAATGGCTGTTGAGTAGGTGTCTGCCAAGAATCAAATCAAAAATCATTAACATGAGTTTGCTAAGAGAAGTTTCTTACCTTGCTAAAGTGATAAATACGAATACCAGTTGATTTATGTTTGCATCTTTGAATGTCGCTAGTCTCATCTAACATTTTATCTCTGCTTTTCCCCTCAGGGGGACTGAGATACAGCTGAGACATGATGAAATCCGGCAGAAATATGGTGAGATTAGTTTGTCTGTTTTGTTTTTATCTATTAATTTAAAACATCTTTTTTTTTTTACTTTAAAGGGTTTTATTAATCTAGTTTAAACAGAAACAAGCCGAAAGTTGTGATGCATAAATGTATTTCTGATTCTGGTGATTTTCTGGTAAAAACATAAATAAATAAATAAAAAAATTTAAAAAGCATAGATTTAAAAATTATCCAACAGTGTCACCTACTGGAGAAAAGCTACAGATCATGAATCTCTGGTATAATTTCCTTAACTTCATATGTGAAAGTATTTAATGATAAAACATAAACATACATTTGAACATTTAAATGTATTTTTCCAGTTGCATTAAAATGTTTTAATTGTATTATACATTTAATTCTTCCAGGTCTGGCAAAGGATAATCCATACGCTCGCATGGACGACCGCTAAGAAGGATCTCAGTGTTGGTTTTATGAAATGGGCTATTTTGATGCCAGTAACAAACTGTCATTATCTAGATTAATTTCATTTTGTCATCATTTCAAAAACACCTCTTTATGTTTTTTACGTGAAATTGATGGTCTCTAACATCCTAATTTGTTTACAATGACTGTTAAACTAATGTTTTTGTTCCAAACATTTAAGTAGATTTAAGAAGAAACATTTTGGCATTTGTTCAAATAAGCAAACATGCTGCAGAAGCATGCAATAAAAGGTAGTGACATAGTTTGTATGGGTCACTATAGTGAAGCTATAGTTTTGTCTAAAGCAACATTTTTTCTTTAAAATATTCTTAGATAAAATTGATTTTCCACTTGTTTTAACCTCTATTAGTTTTAGTATCACGGCTTTACTGAAAATGTTTAATAACTGAGTCAACTGATTTTTGTGCTGTTGGTAAATTTGTAAACATACTTTAGAAAATTAAATGAATGACAAAAAAAACTTTTGTTTGAATTGCAATTTTCTTACATGTATGCATGTTCTCACACATGTCTGAATTTTAGGGGAATTTGCATCACCACATCAAACCTGGTGAAAAACATTTATGATTGTGAAATTTATTATTTTATGTATACACATGTTCCAGGTCATCAGCTCATGTTGTAGCATTTTAATCGTAAAATAAATCATCAAACGCCTGCAAATTACTAGATTTCATGCATTATTGGTCTTGTCTGTCTTCACCTGTGACCCATCAGTGGTTTGGGGCCAACCTTCAAGAAAATAAAATGTATTTTTTAACATCACAACACATTATTTATTTCATTTTATCAAGTTAAAAACGAATTCATAATAAAATTGGCACAATTATCCTGCATTACTTAGATCTTCCACAAGGCGGCAGAAAACTTATATAAATCAATTGAGAAGTTTGAGGAATGTACTAATCTTGTTAAAGAAATGTGCAGCAAATATGATTAATTTGGCGTTCAATCATTAAAATATTAATACATTATGTATTTAGATAATTGATTTAATGTAAAACCATGATCAAATCAATTTTACCTGTGTGGCTTAGAGGAAAAAAGGCTTTCTTTGTGTGTGCCAACTTCATTGACCTATCTCGCGGGAGTGCGCAAAACTTCATACGCGTTCACGTGTCCGCGACCCCGTGAAATCGTGGGACACGTGACCTTCTCGGTCGAATTACAGTTTTAAATTTCAGTGCGCGCCCCTGTTCCAAACGAGAGAGCCGGAGGAGCTGATAACAACCCGCCTCAGCGCCGCCAACATCACCAGACTCCACGCTAGAAACCGGAGAAAGTAGCAGAATGTCTGAAGAAAAGCCGAAGGTCAGTACCGAGCTTCTACCGCGGAGCGTCCCGCTCGGGTTCGCCATTACCAGCTGGTTATAAGTTAACGTTAGCACATTGCGCTAAGCTGGCCCTGCTTCCAGGCTGTTTGAGCGGGCAGACGGAGAAAACAAAGGTTTGCGAACATTCTGGCTTTATGCGCACATTTTGACGCGTTTTTTGCTTCTGTTAAATTGTAAATCACTTTTTGTTGCACCCAGGGGCACGGATATGGCGAACTACATTTGCCAAATTATGCTAGGAGAGGTTTTAAGTGTAAATAAAATGATTTGTTTTTCCTCACCATTTGCGCCATTGTGGCTTTATGCGCCAGTTTGACTAGCATGCTATGCTAACGGCTAGCTAGAACCGAAAACGGCGTGCAATGGTTTCAGTTGGAGCCTCTCCAGCGTCTGTGTGGTCCTGTAAATGCGCGTTATTTGGGTTATTTGTTGCGGATAAAGTGTTTTTGTTTTTTTTGTTTTTATTCAATGGACACCCGTCGGCGTGTCGCCTCTGCTTTTGTTGCAGGAAGGAGTGAAGACGGAGAACGACCACATCAACCTGAAGGTGGCCGGTCAGGATGGATCCGTGGTTCAGTTCAAAATCAAAAGGCACACTCCGCTCAGCAAACTCATGAAGGCGTACTGCGAAAGACAGGCACGTCTCCTCATCAGCACGAAAATAAACCTTTGCTTTTGTTTACATGTTTATCCTGGAGTCTAATTACGTTTCTGGCGTTTGCAGGGACTGTCGATTCGTCAGATAAGGTTTAGGTTTGACGGACAGCCGATAAATGAAACAGACACACCTGCACAGGTAACCATTTCCCTCGTGATCAATACAGTAATAACTCCTGAACACAACAGCAGACATGTATTTCTTTTTCAGCTGCTTAATTTCACAGGGAATCTGTTTTCATCATTGTTGTGTTCACAAATTATCTTTACCCCTAATGGGTCATATCAGAACTCAGACTAGCATAAGCCTAACTGCAGTTTGGCCATGGACACTTGGTGATAGCTAATCTTACCTGCATATCATTATTGCCTGATCTCCATTCCATAAGCTATGGTATAGATCTGTTCATCCTTTTTAAATTTTAGTGCTTATTTTTATGTTTAATGCATCACAAGAATGTAATAATATCTTAAGAGGATTAGGACCAAAAAATTCTGTCTTCAGAATCAACTTTATTGTCACTGTAATCTTAAGAATTCAGATTTTTTATTTGAGATTTTTTTTTTCTTTAAAAAAATCAACGGCCCTAGTCTGGTTTCATATAAAATATACTTTGCACCACAAAATAATAAAGCAGACATTAGACTGTGAGGTAGGGTGAAAAGACTAAAACATGTCATAATGTCAAGCATGGTAGTGGAAGGGTGATAATTGTAGTCTGTTTACCTTTAACGTCAGTCTCTGATGTGGTGAGGTATTTCTAAAACTTATTTGAGCTACATTGTTGTATTTTGCCAATAGGTTGACATGTTAAACTTGTATTAAACTGTGTGTGTGTGTGAGAGAGTGAGAGAGAGACATGACCACTGACATGTGAATGTTTTTGTTTTAGCTGGAGATGGAAGATGAGGACACTATTGATGTATTTCAGCAACAAACTGGAGGAGTCTATTAAAGCAGCATTTGGACTGTTGGTACATCATCACCGTTTCATGTAGAATTTGTTTATTTTCCTCCGCTGGCTTCACGTTGGGCTGTTGGTGGTTGAAATTATTTGTCCCTCATGAGAATCCTGTCCCTGAAATGCAGGGTAACCCATTTTAAACACGCATAAATTTATTCTTTTTAAACTGATCAAGACCAGAACTCTTTGTTTTTTTTTTTTGTTTGTTTGTTTGATTTTTTGTTTGTTTGGTTAGAACAGTAAAAAAAACATTCAAATTCCAGATGGCCTAAAGTATTTTAATGTATGTACTTGTTGAGATTGTATGTGGAACGCTCCTCCACTGTCTTCAGTGGTCTTCTGTCCTATTATGGGAAAGAGAGGTGACTTTTTCTTTACTCATTAAAGGGTTATTTACTAAATATGTTCATTTAAATTGACCACAAGCAGAAAAAAGGTCTTGTAAGAAAAGATCAACTATCTGCTCTAAAGAAATCAGATTTGATCAGTTATACAGTAAGGTTGCTGGACCAAAAGGCTCAAGAGTTCTCGGGTGTTTACGTACACAACTCCTTAACTTGTGGATGTAAAGTTTACCGCAAGTTGGCTACATAACCCTTTTTCAGGCCCCAGAAGATATTTAGCGTTTTATTGGTTTACCACCATCTTACTTGAGGTCAATTATTCCACTTCCTGTATACATACCAAGTCATACATACTGTGCTGCCAATTTTAAAAGGTTTGTAAAAAAAAAAATAAAAAAAAGTTTATCAAAACTTTATCTACATCTCTTTTTGTTAGCTGCTTGTGTGTTGGTAGAATTTAGTTTTATCAGAATGTCCACTGGTGTTTTAACAAAAGAAATGTAATGGTTCCGAATTTCCAGTGACATTGAATTTCTTTTCTTTTTTATTTGTACATTATTTGTTGTCTTTATTCTGTATACAATAAATATAGTTTGATATGTTTTGAATTGCGCTTTGGTTTTCATTTATGAGTTGTATCCAGCATCCATGTCCTGAAAAGTCTTTCTATAGACGAGATGAGCAGCAGTCCTTCTGGGCAGAGTAGGGTTTTGTCAAATAAAAAGATATAAAAATAAGTTCTGACCATAAGTGTCTAATTGGACATCTGATGTTAACTAATTGCTTCCAAATGCATAAATGTAATTTCCTGTGAAGGGTGGTTAGACTTTTTGGCAGCTGCCCACTAGAGAGTGACAAAGTGCTGTTTTCATTTGCTTCCTATCCCTGTTTGCTTCAGTCCATGAACTCTTCAGTCCTGATATTAAAACACAAGGCCACACTTGTTGCTCCATTTAAGCCTCATGAGGGCTGAAACTTCTATTTGAGCAAACATGATTTCACAGATGTTACTGAACAGCAGCCAAGTGAATGTGGGGTTGCTCACACAGAGGCCTGATTGTGTTGTTTTTATTTTTGGCACCTTCTTTTGAATTTTACATTTCCTCGTGGGGGTATCAGAAATCAGTCACATTTCAGGAACACAGCTGCACGGTGCCCCTGCCGCTGAATCTCCTGCTGGTGTCTGATGTGCTCTTCCTTGCAACAATTTACAGTGCGGAGATGTGAATGACTGATTCCAGTGCAGTTCCAGGCAAAACTGTGACACTATGAGACATGTTTGAGTAATAGAACAATTTAACAGAACATTCACAAACAAGATTCAGATCAGCATGTGAACTTTTTGTTTGCTTTATGAGCATCACGGACTTGTAATTCAACAAACACTCATTTGTTTGACTGCAGTCACAAAAGCGACACTGATTGTTATTGTTAAGTTAGTGGGGTTTGTGTCATGTGCGTGGTCTGCTGTGACAGCGGACACAGAATGGCCTATTAATCAAGATAATAGATTATTGAAGGCAGTCCAAAAGGGGGCATATGGTAAACTAATTTTCTGTAGCCTTTTGTGCTGCCATGTTGTTTTCTACTGTCCCTATAAACATTCAAAACTTCAAAAAACGTTTCTGTCAGTGTTTGCTTTCAGAAATGATGTACCTAAAATGAGCCATTTCAAAGGGTCTCAGTTTGTGATGTCACAAACAAGGGGATTAGACTAGAACCACCTCTCACATGCAAGAAAGATGTGGTACTGGAGGTGCAGTGGCTCTAGTCTCAGCCCCTCCAGGATGTCGGAGCATCTCAGCTAATAGGGAGTCTAAGTCACGCCCATCTACTTCTAGACCATGGGTCCCCAGAAGAACAAAAAAATGAATGCAAGTCAATGAGGCAAAAAATGCAATTTTCTAATTCTGCTTGTTGTGTGCCATGGATTTCACATATGATGTCCGTGAATTTTAAATATGCATTTTGATACCAAGAACTCACTTATTTACGAACGGGGGGAAACATTATTTTAGGTTTTGTGTGAAATTAAGTGCAGGACTACAAATTCACATCACGTCATCAAACCAGACACGGAGAAAAACAAAGGGAAACTGGCTGTAAGTTTGGCCAACTTCAAATCCTTCCTTCAGGAGGAAAAAAAACACTAGTAAATCTGGCCATGTGGTAAGTAGCAGCTTTGCTAGAGGAGAAGATTCTGTGTTGACGTCATGCGACGTCCCGATATCTAATTTGTAGTCATGCTAATTACAAACTTTTACAAGCTGATAAATCTCGAAGTAGTGAAATCTCAAAGTACGTGACTGGCGTGGTCGAAACACCCATAATTAGTTTTCAATTAAATTTCAGTACAACATATGTGTGATCCAGGGTCTAAGGCAAAACGGATTACAAAATAATTCTTTTAGCATTCATTTTTTCGTGCTTATGGGGAGCCATGAGCCGACCGGAAAGGGACTTATGCTTGGTTTATGCTTGGTTTATGTGCGAGAGGTTCGCACGGCTCCGCGCGGCAAAATTGCGTCATTTTAACAACCACGCCCCTCCACCACGCCTCCGCACGGCCCAAACTTTCCACATCGCGCACCTAGGAAATTTTGGTTTATGCTTGATGCATTCACTTTCCGTGCGGTGATGCGGCTCGCAGATGGAACACGCTTCACAACCCGCAGCGTTTATGGTTTGTGCGGCTCGTCTCTGCGGTGAGCCAATATTCTCCCAAACTCCCAAACCACGCGGACGGACGGACGCAGAAGAACATGGTGGACTGGCAAGAACTTGTATGGCAGCGGTTCGTAAATACAGATATTTGTATGAGTCCGCTCTCAGAGATCACCGTGATCAACATGTTGTTAATAATTCTTGGAGAGAAATAGCTCGCACTGTCGGAAAAGACGAGGACGCTGTTAAAAAATGCGGGAATGCCATGTTGTAAACAACAGTAATTTCTACTTCTACTATGGTGTAGTGTTGGATGCATGCCGTAGAGCTCCATGCTGCCCCATTCAGCTTGTGAGAATATCGACTGCAGAGACGAGCCGCATGAACCATAAACGCTGCGAGTTGTGAAGCGTGTTCCATCCGCGAGCCGCATCACCAAGCGGAAAGTGAATGCGTCAAGCATAAACCAAGCTTCAGGGTTGAAGAAGAAGAAAAGATCCTTTCTATAGCGCCCCTCAAGATAAAAATCACGAGGCGCTTCACAAAAAAAAAGTAAAAATATAAAAAATAATTTAGAAAATGTTTAAAAATATGTTTAAAATGAGCAAAAAATAGACAATTGTGATTAAAAAAATGTTAAGAAAGAGAGAGAGTGAATCCTGAGGAAGGTGGAATAGGTGGGGAGAGCAGAATAAAGACAGAGTGGTGAAGAAGGTCTTACAAATGCCACTTTGAACAAGTGAGTCTTCAGCTGCTTTTTAAAGGAGTCACTGAGTCCACTGATCTCAGGCTCAGGGGGAGAGAGTTCCAGAGTCTGGGAGCCACAGCAGCAAATTATCTGTCACCTTTGGTCTTTTGCCTGGTGCGACCAGTAGGCTTTGATCACTGGACCTCAGGGACCTGCTGGAGGTGTGGGGACTAAGAAGATCTCCAATGTAAGATGGTGCTTGTGTCACAGAGTGGTGATGTTGCACTAATTTTATATTGCATGTTTTACTTGTTTTTATTCTGATGTGCATGTTTTTATTTGGTGTGGTTTTAGTTGTGGTGCAACATTTTGTGTTCATTCTGTGACTAATCACCCCAATCACCTTCACCTGCGGCAGAGTGTTGCCTGGACTGCTAATTAATGGACAGACGCAGGCAGGACAGGTGATTTAGAGGGAGGAACACGATGGGAATGAAAAAAAAAACTGAGAGAGTCAGGATGGCAGACGGGATGAGCTAGGGGCAGAGACGCACCCCGGGTCGGCTTCCTGAGGACCACATGTGCCTGGACCCCCCCGCCGGAACAGAGGAGCACCCGGAGTACGGTCCCGGATGAGGGACGGCGGCCGAGTGTGGAGGAGCGTGGGTGTCCCTCCCTCCACACATGAGCGGCGCGCGTACTGGTGCCGCTGGGTCCGGTTGGAGTCTTGGACCGAGGAGGGGGGTTCACTAGCGGCACGGACAGCGAGCGGCAGCGGAGAGCGAGATCCGCGGTGGAGAAGCCAGGGCACGGAGCACAACACGGCAGGCGGGCAGAGTTCCTCTGCCCCTGCGCGTAAGTATTGGAGCAGTGCCTGGCTACGTCTGGACCTGCTGTCTCTCCATGTGTGGTCTGGTGCTTGGGGACGTTTGACTGCCGGAGGTTTTTGTCTGCCACAGGGGCCGAGGAGAAGGACTGGATCCACGGGCCTTCCAGCCTGTGGATCCCCGCGGACGACGTTCCCCGCAGGAGGGCGGGGTCGTAGGTTTCACCTGGCGAGTGCATGCAGGGGTAGACTGGACTGCCTTGTCCTTTGGGCATCTTCTTCAGCTTTTAGAATAAATTCCCTTTTTTAAAATTTGCTTCTGTGGTTGCGCTGCTTGCCTTGGATTTTAGAATCTATTTTAATCGGTGGCAATTTTAGTGGTACCCTATATTTCCACCGGAGGCGTGCCACGTCACACTTGTCCATGTAAGGCCCTACAGACTAGAACTAGGATCTTGAAATGAACCCTGGAGTTGACTGGCAGCCAGTGAAGCTGGAGGAGAAGCGGGGTGATGTGGGTGTGTTTGGAGGACTTGGTCAGAAGCCGAGCACAGGCATTCTGAACCACCTGTAGACGGTTCAGGGAGGTTCTGCTCAGACACGTGAAAAGAGAGTTACAGTAGTCTAAGCGTGAGGAGATGAAGGTGTGGATAACTGTCTCAAGTTCAGAGCGAGACAGAATGGGACTCAGCTTAGCAATGTTCCTGAGATGGAAGAAGGAAGAGCGAACAAGAGAACTGACATGAGGATCCAGGGTGAGAGCTGGGTCAAAGGTCACACCAAGATTCCTGATGGAAGGCTTGGTGTGAGATGCAAGCTGACCAAGAGAATCTCTGACTTTGGGAACCAGCTTGTCTGGGGCACAGATGAGGATCTCAGTCTTATCTTCATTCAGAAGTAGAAAGCTCCCAGCCATCCAGGTTTTGATAGAGTCTGAGCAGGTGTGTAACAGCTGCAGCTTAGACATCTCATGGGGCTTAAAGTAGATGTACAGTTGGATGTCATCTGAAGAGGAAGCAGATAGAGGAGGAAGAGCAGAGGCCCCAGCACAGAACATTGTGGGACACCATGGGTAAGGGAGGTGGTGGAGGACCTAAACTTGGAGACGGCCACAGAAAAGGAACGCTCAGAAAGATTAAAGGAGAACCACTCCAGAGCAGTTCCTGATAGGCCTACCCAGTCTCTCAGCCTCTCCAGTAGCAGGTGATGGTCAACAGTGTCAAAGGCTGCTGTCAGGTCCAGCAGGACCAGAACTGAACAGTCCCCTGAATCACTGTGAGTCAGAAGGTCATTAGAGACCCTAAGAAGAGCTGTTTCAGTAGAATGAGCTCTACGAAAACCTGACTGGAAGCAATCATAGATGTTATGTTCATCAAGAGCAGCTGTGAGTTGTTTAGCCACAACCTTTTCCAAGATCTTGGAGATGAACG